GATTTCAACAATTTATATTTTAAATAAATTAAACTCAAAAATGTTCGTTTAATTCAGATTTTAAAGAAAGATGTTTTATAAATTTCAATTAATCATAACCTATCTGCGGTTACCACGGATTATCCACCTACCTACTTCTAACTACTTTAACTAATTTTGCGGCATAATCCATCTTTTCTAAGCATAAACTATGAAAACATTGGTTTATAAAAAATATTGGAACACCATTGCATGATCTCCATTCCTATGTCCGATAGGTCTCTACCAGATATCGTCCAAGAAGAATGGGTTGAGAATAATTAATAAATGCCTAAATCTAATATAAGGTATTAAATATTCAAAAACTATGTAAAACATTAAAATCCAATTACGTTGACTCAATTGCTCAGAATCATGCAATCAAAAAAATATACAATTCATTGAAATTCCCAAAGTTAAAACAATCAAACCATAGTACTTAGATCAGGTTACATTAGTGCTCTAAGAGAGAAATTAGTTACTCATGACGACGCAGAATATCAACTGTATTGTTGTGGATTTCATCGTCACGGACATCACTTATCTTCTCAGGATCTTCACCTTCTAGGGTTATGGAAACCCTAAAAGCCATCACTACAATATGAGAACTCTAAAAAAATACGAGAGAAAAAGGACAATTCTTCTGTGGCCTTGTGTCTTCTTTTATAGAAGAATTAAGGTTCTGGCGAACTTTTAGGTCTTCTGGCCCATCTTGAATGAAATTAGACTTAAATAGGATAAATCTTGTAACTTATAATTCCAATCTGTCATGGATGGCTCAAGCTATTTGGCACGGGCTCGAGTTTTCTTAAACATGGCTCGAGCTTATTCATAGAATGGTGCTCAATCTTCACTTTTGTACTTAGCCAAATTTCTTTAACTATTTTCCGAAGCGTTTTTTCCATCAACACTTACAATGTTTTTGGGTTTTCTTCCTTTTAACAGTGCTCGATCTTCTCTTCATGGTGCTCAAGCTTTAGGTGTAAAACTCGAGCTTTTGGCTCAGGGCTCGAGCTTTGAGTGACAGTGTTCGATCCCGTGAGGTCTGGCATGAGGTCCTGGGAGTATGGCTTTCTCTGAAATTAACTCTTCAAATTTCGATGCCTCAAGCTCGAGCTTTTAGGCAAAGGCTTGAACACCCTGAGGTAAGACTTGAACACCCTTAAGTAGAGCTCGAGCTTTGAGGATCAAAGCTCGAGCTTTGATGCCTTAGTTGAATTTTCTTGTTTTCCTGTGGAGCTCGAGCCCTAGAATTGAGGCTCGAGCCTTGGTACTTGAATTACTCCAAACTTCACCATTTTGACTCTCGGCTTGCTTTGAATGACCGGCAATGACTCTGTAAGCTCCGATATCAGTATTTTCATCATAAAGTCTCGGTTTTAACCGTTTCTTTGGGAAAATACCTACAAACACACAATAAACATAAATCAGTCTAACAATGGATATAACTATCACTTTAGGTCTTAACATACGTATATTTAGGAGCTCGAATATGCAATATTCAACGCTCATCAGAAGTCTGATCACGAATATAGGTAAAAAGACTATAGTCTGAAATAGATTGATGAAAACCTCGGCGAATGAGACTGGTGGAGAATTTTGAGAACCATTAACGAGAAGCCTATTTAAAGCCATTGAGAGATTTATTTAATTTACATACATAATATTTTTATGAACAATAGAATATGAAGAAAAAAATGAAAGAAATGTATACATATGATTAGAAGCACTTGAATTGATAATCCAACAAGAGGATAAACAAGTAAGAGTTGTACCTGCCAAATGGGCAAATGATCCACCAGATTCCTCTTTAGCGCCAGAAGTGCGAGGAGCTTGTTGTATTGTTCAGATGTCAACTCACTAGCAAAAGTAACGGAAGTAGATAATGGTGGCCCTGATTTCTTCATCTGCTTATCTGGGAAGCCATGGATTTGGTAACATATAGCAAGCGTATGGCCATGCTTATTATAATGTTCACAGAAAGGACATTGGCGCTTTCCAGAAGGCCGAGATGGTGGTTTAGACGCCTGAAGCGCTGCCGAATCAACGGTGGGAATGGTTCGAATGTGAATCTCTTGTTGTTTTTCTTCTTGACGTACCAAATTATAGATACATTGAATTGAAGGAAGCAGCTCCATCAAAAGGATTTGGCTGTGAATAACTGAAAAACGATCATGGAGTCCTTGAAGAAACTCTATGGCATGATCTTGATTTTGTTGATCAATAATGCTTTTAGCATTACCACAAATACATGGAGTGACGGAGACAATGGAACTGAGTTCATCCCATAAAGATTTAAGTTGTGTGAAATATAATGAAATAGACACACCTTCCTGTTTGAGGGCAGAAATTGATTGTTTCAATTGATAGATTTTAGGAGCATTTGATTAAGAAAAAGGTCCTTCAGATCTGTCCAGATTTGTGCTCCAGTTTCAGCATACAGGATACTTGGATGGATTTCAGGTGAGACGGAATTTAGAATCCAACTTCCAACCAAATCATTACATCGTTCGCAATTGGAAATATCATCTTTCTCCTTTGGAATTAGGAGTGACCCATCAACAAAACCAAGTTTGTTTTTTGCACGAAATGCCATTGTTATTGCACGACTCCATGATCCATAATTGTCTCCTGACAATAGAGGTGTAACAAGAATAGTAGAGGGGCTATCTGAGTGATGAATGACATAAGGAGCTGTTTTGATTGGTGTTGATGATGGTGTTAATGATGGTGTGGTGTTGGTGGCAATATTTTCATCAGACATTGTGAAGGAATAGAAAAAAAAATTGATATTGTTTAAGGTGAACTCGATAAAGAGAGGAGGAAAATGTATTGTGAACGTGTATTTCATTCACTTGCCGTGTAATATATATAGGCAGGTTTACAAGATTCAAATATACATAAAAATAGGAAACTAACAACTCTGTTACAGTAACTAAAGCCTAAACTATTGGACTGTTGTGGACTTTTGAAATCATCCATCAATAACTAAAAGAAACAAATTGATTCAAAAACTAAACAACTAAATGCCTAAAAGATTGGACTGTTATGAACTCCTTGATTTCGTCCAATAAAAAGTTTTGTGACATTCGACGGCTATGATCGATTGATCATGTAACCGATCAAGGGAAATGATCACTGCTGATGATTATACAAAATGAAAATTCTTAATCTCCATCTACCAACTAGATAACTTGTTATTTGTGTTATAAAATAAAAAACTAATATATTTAAAAATCTTTTATAAAAATAACCATATATTTTAAAACAGATACCAACAAATCCCATGAGATCATCCTCCGAGTTTCGAATTTCCAAGAATTATGTAGGATCTGAGGTATGAGGAAATCATAATGCGAAAAGGTGTATGTACTTACCTTTGCTATGGGTGGATAAATAAATATGCATATTGTGTGAAATCATTAATTAAGCATATGCATGCTTAGTTATCATTGTAATTTAAAATCTTTAATAGTACGATTTGAGATTGGTTTGTCAAATTAAATGAACCAACCAAGAAGCTAGCGGAGTATTTTACAAACCATATTTTTTATGCATGAATGATCTGTATTATTCTTGGAAGCTGTTCACAAAACCATTAATTCTTATGCATTCCATTAATGATAGGAGTGGAGTACTTTTCTATTAAGAAGACAGACAATATACTGTTCAACACCCACCTGCTGGTCAAACCCTAATTGACTTGCATCAGAATAATTTGTTTGAAAATTAAAATTTTTCTCATTATTGTCACCCACGGTTTCTTATATTAGATGGTTTTAGTTGTTTTCTTTGGGACAAATTTGGTTGAAAATTAAAAAATTTCTCATTATTGTCACATGCGTCACATGTTTAGTAAAATATGTGTTAGATGTTAAACTAAATTAATGAAATGCAATTTAAAATCCTATGATCACCCATTTTTAAATAGGATGTGCTTATTTTCTGCTGAATATGTTGGTTCTTGTCTTCCTGGTACCTTGATTTTGAATGCTCTGTGTACAGCATGGATCATCGATCTATGATTACTAGGTTTGCTATATGATATATCCCTTTTTTTCCCTCTTTTATCAGAACATGTTAAAATCTACATACAGTATATTTATATTATATTTAAATTGGTAGGTGAGCTTTATAGTGGAGTATCTGTTTTTGAGGTGCTTCCATTCCCTAGGACTGGAGTGTAGCAGATCATGAGGTACTTTAATATCATGGAATGCGCGTCTAACCTCCATTCCCATCTGTCTTGCATGCAGCTAGCTCCCATGCAAAATGCAACAACAAAAATTAAGCATGGAAAAATATATATCTTTATTATATATATATATGTATATTTAATGAACTCAAATAAATTAATTTAGCGAGCAAAGTTATAGAGAGTATATTTTTGTAGTAATAATAAAAATGTTCAGTTTCCCTATCTTCATATATATCTTAATCAATAACCAAGTATACACACTTTTTTTTTCCCATAGGCCCTAGTTAAGTATACACTCTTTATTAGTGATAAAATCCAACATGATGACAAGACACTATAGTAATATAGTGGTGATATAGTGGTAATTTTGGCATTTTTTTTTATTTTTGGTCAATTATATAATATTTTATAAGACATATATAATGCATGAAGAGTAGGTCTTCTCCCCGGAGAGTCCAAGACATTGGTTAATTTGCCTTTCCAATGAAAGTTTTCTCGCATCTCCATGAACCAAGACCCTTCCACTGTAGGACCGACGGTTAGGAATGGGACAAATAGACCATCCATTGACTCCTAGAAAATCTTAGAATATATGGTTGAACAAAAATGAACACATAGAGATAAGTGTATATATATGTGGAAAATATCCAATGAACAATGAAAGAAAGAGACATATACTTAACAATACAAACAACTAAACAAAACTAGCATTCACACACATATATATATATTCACAATAAAATATAATGTTCAGTGCCGTTGTTCATGCTCTAGCTTAACTGTGTGACCTAACTACCTGAACAATATTCAAAACTGCCAGTCCAAGTCAACCCTCTATTCTTCGCTCACAATGTATTAATTCTACTTCTCCCAATTATATATTGTGGCCTCTCTCAGCCTCTCTGCATTGCTATTGAGTTTTGGAAGAGGATAAGAATGAGGAAGCCTTGCTGTGATAAAGAAGACACCAAAAGGGGAGCTTGGACGGAGCTAGAAGACCAGAAGCTCTCCAATTACGTTCGGACTCACGGTGAAGGTTGTTGGCGCACCCTCCCTAAGGCTGCAGGTTGATTTTATATATATATATATATATGTGTGTGTTTCTTATCAAATTTGATCACTTGGACATGTGCTTCTCTTCTGCTTGTTTTTATCAATCATTTTTTCTATTATATATATATATTAATGTGGTCTATGTTTGTTTCATGTGGATTAGGTTTGTATCGCTGTGGTAACAGTTGCAGGCTGAGATGGATAAACTATCTAAAGCCAGACATCAAACGGGGCAACTTTGCTCAAGATGAAGAGGACCTCATCATCAGGCTCCATGCTCTCCTCGGCAACCGGTACAATCACTCCCTCTTCGTGTGTCGCTACACGCCTTATTTTTTAAACGAGTCATGATAGGCTGACTAGTTGGACCAATTTATTAAATTGAAATAATCAACACAAATCAATGTCCTTAATTATGGAGAAATTATCATATGGTTTAGATCTATTAACACTTGGTGGACTAGTTAAATACAGACTCTTGGATTGAAAAAATGACCCAACGAGAGTGTATTAATAAATTAAAGGGTTTTCATTGAATTAGTCCACTAAATGTTAAATAGACCAGAACAATTTAATAATTTCTCGCAATTATTACATGATTTCGGACTCTTACTTCCGGTCAATCATCAATTAACATGTACGCAAAAAGCAAAATAAAACTGATATAAAGCTTACACAATTGGTGAATGGCCCGAGACCAATGGTCCCAATTATGTAATAATTTTTCTTTAATTATGTCACTTTGACAAATAAGTCTAATATCATTTCAAAAATATAAAGTTCAAATATACTAGTTCAATTTAGTTATATGTAAGAAGACAAAATTTTGAATAATTAATGCGATATATTATAAATAAATTTTGATACGAAATTTCAACAGCATGTATAATCTTTGTAAGAATATAAAAATTTGATTGATTGGTACGATAATCTTCTCTCAAAATGGTTACGCTGGAGAGTGAACAAAAGCTTTTACCCCAACTAATCTCTAATGGCCCACAAAGATGCCCCCAACCATTATTGCTATTTGGTAGTGTATATATATTAGATAATGCTCAACATAGTATCTGATTTGTTAATGAATGTTTATTATGTACTGTTAGGTGGTCTCTGATAGCCGGAAGGTTACCGGGGCGAACAGACAACGAGGTAAAGAACTACTGGAAAACTCATATAAGGAAAAAGCTAATGAGTATGGGTATTGACCCAAATAATCATCGGTTGAGCCACCATCTTCCTCCACCTCCAAACCAGTACTACTGCGCTTATTCTGCAGCTTCGAAAAATTACACATCTAAGCCATTGAAAACCTCTGCCGCCGATAATGATCAGATGTCAGATGCTGCAAGTTACCTTGAAGATGATTCAACATGTTCACATGACTTGAACCTTGACCTCACTATTGCAGTTCCTTCTTCGTCGACTTCTCTTGTGGGAGGAAAAAGAAAAGCAATAGAACGAGCTCTTAGTTGAAATTGAGAGTGATTTTCAAGTGTATATATGGCAAAATCACAGAGAGTAGAAGGTTGGCTTTTGCTGAAAGATAACATAATTAATCAAATTTTGGTGTATTAATTAATTAGAATGACACTGCCAGAGACTTCATACCAAACTCCTGAGGGATTGAGGCTGTTTATGTAATCATTTTGAATTTAGCCCTGTTTGTTTTGATGTATTTTTATTTTTAAGATAAAATATTCTTTTTATTATTATTATTTTTTTTTTGGTGTTTAGCAAAGTTCTAGATCGGTCGAGTCTATCAGACGGGCTTTAATAGCTTACTGTTAAAGAATATCACGAAGATGTGAGATAAATATAGCTAGAAAGAGTGTTGACAGAAGGTATAAACTAAATTGAAGAATTTAAGGGCGTGGTAAAAGCCTGGGGAAATTTAAAAAATTAAGGGCTCTACGGCCCCTACAGAAGCAAAGTTGTCAATATATCCAAATTTATATATCAAGATTCAGTGTGCGACTCAATTAAGATCAAACCCTTGTTTTTTTTTTTTCCCCAAATAGATCAAAACCCTAGGAATTACACTTGTGTTTGGCTCCTTACTTGAAAGGAGAACCAATGGAAAAGTAATTATTGTTTCTACATGTTCATGGAGACGAAGTGAATGGAAAATTAGAAAATTAATACATCTAATTATTAAAAATTAAACACAAGAAGAGAGAAGTCTATTTCCTTCCCCTTTACTCCCTTATTAAATCAAATAAAGGATGTTTTTATGCATTTGATCACCTAGACTAATAACAGCATTTGAAGGAATCTTTGTTGTTCTCTGAAAATAAAGAAAATGGGACTTCAAAGTGAAGGAGTTCCATTTTTATATTTTTGAAGCTGATTTGATATTCCATTGTTCAAATCATTATATATATATATATATATATATCAAAGAACCTTTTACATTAATCAGTGAATAGTGATCTATATCAAGTTTTCTAACTAGGATACACATTTGAAATGACAAATATGTGAAATATGCAGGTGAAACTGTATAAGACAACTATGTGAAAGCAAGAACCCTTTTACAATAATCAGTGATCTATATATAAATTTTCTAATTAGGATACACAATTGCCCGCGCCATAGTCCCACAGTCTAGCTTTAACTTTCCCAAGAAAAGAATATACAATATGAAAACCATTACTTTTCTTGATGTGAATATATAAAGGTGATGGGAAAGTTAATTGTCTGGACCAAATTTTGCTTTAATCCAAACAGAAACTTTGTCGTGATCTAATTGAGCTTTCCCACTTCACTATCAGACTCGTTATAATGAACTGTAAAATCAAGTGATTTTTCACATTTTCACACCACAATCATTCATAAGGCAAAGCAACACATATATACAAGCCAGAGATATGCATCTATAATGTGACATAGCTAGCACTTCAGACAGATGGGGAACAACATAGGAGGAAGAAAGAAAGCAAAGGTGATGAAGATCAACGGCGAAACCTTCATGTTAAGGACTCCAATACAAGCCCGGGAAGTAGTAACTGACTACCCCGGTCATGTATTACTGGAATCCGAGGCAGTGAAGCAACTTGGCATTAGAGCTAAGCCATTGCAACCACAACAAGAATTGAAGCCCAATAAAATATATTTCCTAGTAGAGCTGCCAAAAGTATCCGAAGATAAGATGCCAAGGCGTGTAAAATCCGGTGTACAAATGAGTGCAGAGGAGCGGCTTGAGTGCCTAATGTTATCGCGAAGATCAAATTCAGATCTTAGTGTTGTTAGACAGCCAAATCCTCTGTCTGGTGGGCAGGGTATGAGTTCGGGTCCCCTGAGGGTTAAAATGAGGCTGCCAAGGGCTGCAGTGGCTAAGTTGGTTGAAGAAAGCAGAGATGAAGCAGAGGTGACTAGTAAGATCATTGATCTTTATATGGAGAATGCCGGCAAAGTTGAAAGCGCGGCCTTGGACAAAGATCAATGGAAGCCTGGTCTTGGTAGCATTAGAGAAAGTTTCAAGGCACATGAGGTATCTCTTTCGTGAAGTACCAATTTGTAATGCTATGTTTCTTCAAATCCTCTATAATGTAGGTTCTCAGAAGTGTGAAATAGGTCAATGAGCACCAAAATGAAATTGGCCTTTAGTTTTATAATCCAAACCTAGCATTATTGAGTATATGAACTCTATTTTAGTATTCACTATTAATCAGCCACCTTAAATTGCGTTTATTTTATCTATCTGAGCCATATCGATAAAAGACAAAGTTCTTGCAGCCATGAAACTGAAATTTGAAAGCTTGAAAGCCCCATAGTGGCTTTTGATGCACAAAATTGGTAACAAAAATGAATTTAAATATTCTAAATCAATAATTTCTTTATTTTACAAAATTTGTGACTTGTGAATATGCTAGATAGGTTCATCATACAGAGGTGGACTGTTTCTTTTCATTGTTAGATGGTGAAGTGTGCAGATGGGAACTCTTTTAAGTTACTGATTAGCCTAACGATGAGGTAGACAACAGAGGACAAGAAGTTGTACCAAAATTTTTCTTACGCTCTTTTACTTAAATTGTTTACTATGTGGGACCCAAACCTAGCTTCCAAGATGGTCTGATATGGTCATGGTGGCACAATTGGGTCGCAATTCATGAGGACGAGGTAATCTATTAAATTTCATGAGTTTTTATCAAACTGAATTGGGAAAAAATTTCAGTACAGTAGTTTTTTATTAGGTGAGCTCAATTCATGAGGCTTCTTTTGATTAGGTGAGTGGACTTATAACTTGAATTCCCGTGTCTCGCTGGTTTATGGTTTCAAAACAGTGATTGACAAGGATGTATATATATATATATATGCAATTTCAGCTTTCTTAATTTCTCATGAACCAAACACAGTTTCTGTTGGATTGCTTTCAAGTTTTTGGAGTCAAGGTGCCTAAGTTGGCCCTGAATTCCATTATTTTGAGCAAATGGAACTTAAAGCAGCAATATTGGTTTGGATGGAACTTGAAAGCACAAATTAATATTTTCTGAAATCCCATGAAACATGTACAAATTCAATGGATTTGGAAATAGGATCTGAAAAATACTGAAGTTGTCTAAAACTTTACAGTTTAGTTTCCACCACCACACACACACACACAGATAATATCCAATCACAAACCAAAATTTTGTGCCTCCATCAACTCACTAGTTTCAAGTTAATAAATGAAATACAGAAAAAATAATTCAAAGTTGCCATAAACTGACCAAACCTGGATTAACTAGATCTTCCTTATCGAGAAGTAGCCATTCCATACATGAAAAAGTACTCACAATTTTTCAAAAGAAACAAGGTTAGTTTTTGACTGGGATGATGATCAATTGGGCAGAAGATTTCCTTGAGAATCATAAACAATTTTCCCGGAAAAATCCAACGGGCGACACCGCTCTCCCATGATGATGGTCCTCTTCCACACAGCTTCATCCTCATCCTTAAACTCTTCCTCTCCTTCACCCTTTCTCCAAGAAATCATCTTCACCATCAAAAGAGCTTTGCTGCTTATGTTTTCTTGCAATTTCGAAACGAGCTTCTTCTCGCCAAACTGTGCCGAGGCCTCCTTTTTATGGCTCTGTAGTTTCTTGGCTTTATGAGAAGCACATAAGAAGGTGACAATTGAAAATACAGAGAAGACTGCAATGAAGATGATGAAGAAATTAATGGGTAGTGGTAAAACTGAAGGCTTTTGCATGGAAATGCTTGGTAGAGACCTTGCCATGGCTATGGAGATAACTAAGCTTGGAAGAGCTAGGAAGAAGAGATTATGAGAATTGTTGAAACACTATGGTCCTTGGTCTTAATTATAAGAAGACAGACTAGGACCATTTTCTCAGTGAACAAAGAAAAAAACACAATCACTTGTGGTCCATGGTGGAATTAAAGGCATATCCAATAAAAAAGAGACACGTGGACGTTGCACTGGATTGAACCGTGTTTTACCAGTTATGCTGACTTGACTAGTGGACCTGGTGTTGACTTTGACAAGTTTGATTGTCATGGTTAAAACAGTAACCCATATGGCCCCAAATGACTAGCTCATTGTGTTAGTGGGTGAACCCCACCCCCAGTCCCAAAAAGATCAGTAGCTTTGGAACTTAAATTAAGCTTAACTTGGTTCTGGAGAATAATTAATCTTGTGTTGTGATTCTTATTTTATGCATTGGTTTGCTTGTTTTGGGCATGAAGAAAGAAGGTGGAGAGGCTTCTAAGCAAAGACCAAATATACATTAGTAATTTTAATCTCTTATATATTTATTTCTAGTCATTGTGTTATTCTAGATGTTTTGCACCAAACCATAAACAAGTCCATTTGAATTGAGGTGAAGAACAGGGGTCTTTTTACTATCAAAACCTTCTTTTACTTCGATTCTATAGTGAAATGGCCTGAATTAACCTAACCAAAAAAATAAAAGAAAGAAACGGACTGAAATAATAATATTCATTTATATATATTTTTAAAAGTGTGTATATATATATATATTGAAACACATACTCGTATGCCTCCACGGCCAGCCTCGGGAATTTATGTAGGGGTATTGATATTTGGCCCTTGATATTTATATTTTCTCTCCTACATCTTCTAAAATTTTCACACAAAATTCAGTGATGCAGGTAAATGCCCCTAGACACACGTTTGTGGAATGCCTCTGTGTCTACCATCTTATTCGGATATATTTGGTTGGCTGTCATCCAATTTGCCAACCCTTGACAGCAAATTAAGGGCCAAGCACCACATATGTTCTCTATGCAACATGTCAATTGAGTCTCATGACCACCTATTCTTTAATTGCACCTTCATATTACCTCTATGGTGTTTTATCATATACAAATGCAACATCTGTATAAAAATTAAGAATTTGGATAATCTGGTACCGTGGGTCAGCAACTAGTGGAAAGCAAATACCCCTACTAATCTACACAAGAAATTGTGCTTATCTGCATTGGTGTATCATACCTAGAAAGAAAGAAATGTACAAATTTATAGAGGTAAGAAGGCTTCGCAGAGGGTCGTATATGTTAAGATTGTTCTTACTATTGCTGCAATTTTGAAACTGAGATGTTCCAAAGATTGCTCTTCATCAAAATCGATTCTCGTGAAATAAAATATCTCTCCGTCTTGTTGCAGACAGCCCCACGTCCACCCCCACCGGATCGAGTTAAGGCGGCGCTTCAATGTTGTCATCAAACTGAATTGATGATCCTCCATTAACGGCTTCTTGCCGTTATTGGTAGTTATTATTTAACTTATGTTTCGGCTTTGTCCAATACATGGGCATTGTCCTTGCCGCCTATGGGCTTGTAATTTCCCTTTTTGGGCCTAAGGCCTACCATTTGTATATTCCTATTATCTATGAAAGTTGCTTAAATTTTTTATTTTTATTTTTATTTTTAAAAATTCTTATTCGGATATAGAATTCAAGATAGTATACCAACGACAGCTCACCCAATATATTATTATTCTCCTTCAATTAGTCCCAAATTATCCAATCCACTAGAGAACTTTATCTGCCAACTCGTAGAAAGCTTTATCCCCCACTTGTCTCTTCAATGGATTTGGTTCTTCTAAATTAAATATTTTTTAATTTATTATAAGTTGAATTCATTATAGATTTACATTTAAAATTTATTTATGTATTAAATCACGTCAACTAATTTAAAAAAAATAAAAAAAGTTTGATATTAAATGTCATTAGAGTATGTAAATTTTTCTTAATTTAAAATGGTGCAATAAATTTTTCTTATATCAACATGGTTACATATTCGTCCATCTTAATTTCATATACGATTTTTTGAAAAAGATAAAGGAAAGATAAAAACGTTAAATGTTCATGAGAGTATGGTGAATTTTTCTTAATTCAAAATGGTGCAGTATCAACAAGTTGATTGTTTCGCTCCTACATCTTCCAAAAGGAAAAAAAGTCTCTGAGAGTTGGCGCCAAAACTATACAAAATAGATGAAAATTTCTCCCTTTTGGTTTGGATTACTAAACGTCTTTCCTTTTTTTCTTTTTCTTTTTTACTTGCGTCTTGAAGTCCTTTTTCTTATTCCCTTACTAAAAAAATCCTTCCTTTTTTTTAATTAGATTTGATTCACCCCTTCCATTAATTGTATTGAATCTTAAAACACACATGCCTAAAAACCCCCTTCTATTAAAAAAAAACAAATGTGGATTTTTAGTCCCAAAAACCAAAATTCATGACAAATTTGAACCATTAACCATTGACTGCTGACTTCGAATTCATGAATGTACAGTTCATAACATCCGAGCTCGTTAGTTTACTCCTATCTATTTGAATGATCGGTCACAACTCGAGAGGAAGAACTGATAATAGACAGAAGACCATCCATTCTGGTTTTATATTTGTTCGAATAAAATGCTTAGCCCAATTCCATACATCTAACCAAAAAATCTTGAATTAAGATTTTTTGAATTAAAAAAAATCTTAACTAGATTGATTTTAAAATCTTATTATTTAAATTAGAGGATTCCTCTTAAATCAGTCTATGTCCGGTGAGAATTCTTTATTCGAGGAGAATTGTAGTGGAAGAGAAGCGAGGCCCATTAATTTCAATTGGCTTACAATGAGGCTTTTGGACTATTATTATTGCGAGAGGTTAATAAATAGGAAAAAAGAAAAGAAAATGGAAAATGAACTTAATTTGGCCTGTATAATGATTTGTGTGAAGCACCATACAGATCAATATGGTCTTATTCATACAGAAAATAATGGAAGCCATAGTCGTGAAAGCTGCTATTACCCGTGGGTTTATAAATCATCAATTCTCAATATGATTTTCTTTCTATTTTATTTATTATATATATATATATATACACCGTGAAGATCTTGAATTTGGCAGTGGTAGGGAGAGAGAATAGAGTGAATCAGTTCTCAATATTATGCTACGTTTGGTGTGAAGGAATGGAATGAAATGCCCATTCCAACCATTCATTTGTTTGGTATGCAACTTAAAGTGGGAATGACCATTCTATTGGAATGAAAATCCATTCCACAACTAAATCTATGGAATGGCCATTCTATTCCCAAGTAATTTATTTTAAAAAATCGACTTCCCAAAACACCCTTATATTTCAAGTCCAAAAATCACCATTACTTTCCACCACAATCATCTCCACCTTTCACCACCACCACTGTCACTGCCTTCCACCACCACCGACTTTCACCATTGCCCACCACTTTCCACCACCACCGCTACCGCCGCTACAACCGCTACTGCCACCACCAATGCCATTGCCTTTCATCACTACCGCCGCCACCGCCTTTCACCACTGCCACCACCTTTCACCATCACCACTGCTACCGCCTTTCACTACTACCACCACCTTCCACCGCCGACACTGCCACAACCCTACACCACCGTCGCCGCCTTACCCCGCTGCCACAGCCACATTTCACCACCATCGCCGCCTTCAACAACCACCAATGCCACCGCCATCGCCTTCTACCACCGTCATCGCCTTCTACCACCTTCCATCACCACCACCACCACCACCTTCCACCAGCGCCATCGCCACCACATTTCACCACCACCACCACCATCGCCACCACCATCGCCGCCGCCTTCCACCACCACCACCGCTACTTCCACTGCCACCACCATAGTTACATTACTATCTCCTTCCACCACAACCACCACACCACTGCCATCGCCTTCCACCAACACTACTGCCGCCTTCCACCACCACTGCTGCTACCAATTTCCACCATTGCCACCACCGCCGCCTTCTAACACCTACACTACTACCGCTTTCCACCATCCACCACCTATCACTGCCACCATTTATTTTTGAAAAATTATTTGAGAATATCATTTTGTTAAATTAATTCATTTATTAATAAGAGGGATATTTTGGAGAATTCAATTAGAAATTTATTCCACTTTAAATTTTAAATTAGTCCAACCAAACACTAGAATGAGAATGACCATTTTCTATATATTTTATATTTACAACCAAACAATAGAATGAGAATGACTATTCCATTCCATTCGCATTCTCATTTCATTCCCACTTACATTCCATTCCATTTTTGCACATCAAACGTGACATTTATTAATGTCGGTTTAAATGGTAATTTTATTTATTTAGTAAATTTATTTTAATAATTGTGAAACTTTATTATTTTAATAAAAAAAAAATTGCATCATTTGTGTACGCAAAAAGAACTTTTGACAATTCGGTTGGTTGTTCGAGTAGTCTCCCCAAAAGCTACGTGGATGATCTTTGGAAGAGAAAAACAGAAAAGAAAATAAAACTATTTGGAATAAATATTATTTCCAAAATCAGAATCGACACGGTTACTTATGGAAAATTACTCTTTTATTTATTCAAAAATAGGTACAGAAAAATAAAATAAAATTCAACATAAGTAGTTTTAGCATATAATAATACCACAAAAAAAAAAAGAAAAGAAAAAAAAAAAGAAAAGAAAAAAAAAAGCCCTAACATATCTTTTATTAGGCAACAACATCCAATTAAGAGAGACTCAAATGGGAATGGCCCCGGACACGGAAGGGTAAACAACGGTGGCCGGGTGAGCCATGATGCGGCGGCCCGTCGAGTGGCGGAAGCAGAAGACGAGGGCGCCCACCGGCCATTCCACCACCGCCGTGGCCACAAACGCCAAGAACCCAAGTGTGGGCCCAAATACCTTGCACCGGCAAGGGTTACTTCTCGTACCGCACTCGATGCATATCATCTCGAGATTCCAATTAATGACCCCCTCTCGTTCTCTATATATATGCGTGCGTGTGTGAGATATTTGTGTATGTAGTAGATATTTATGAGGTTTGTAAGATTTGAAAAAGGAAGCGAGCTTGCTACGTGGCATTATATGGGTGAAGAAGTGGGACACGTGTTGACACAATACGAAGAGGATGGGAACTTGTGTCGACGACCTTTTATTTATTTATTGATATTATTTTTTTCCCTAGTTTTATGGTAATTGTTTTAAAAATGAAGGCCCAAGTGTCCAACCGCTTCAAATCGAATATCCTGTAGCTGCTCGATCTTCCTTATTCAGAAGTAGCCATTCCATTCCATACATGAAAAAGCACCGACAATTTTTTAAAAGAAGCAAGGTGAACTTTTTGACTGGGATGATGATCAATTGGGCAGAAGATTTCCTTGAGAATCATAAACAATTTTCCCGGAAAAATCCAACGGGCGACACCGCTCTCCCATGATGATGGTCCTCTTCCACACAGCTTCATCTTCATCCTTAAACTCTTCTTCGTCTCCTTCACCCTTTCTCCAAGAAATTAATCATCTTCACCATCAAAAGAGCCTTTCTGCTTATGTTTTCATGCAATATCGAAACGAGCTTCTTCTCTCCAAACTGTGCTGAGGCCTCCTTTTTATGGCTCTGTAGTTTCTTGGCTTTATGAGAAGCACACAAGATATGAGAAGCACATAAGAAGGTGACAATTGAAAATACAGAGAAGACTGCAATGAAGATGATGAAGAAATTAATGGATAGTGGTATAAATGAAAGCTTTTGCATGGAAATGGTTGGTAGAGACCTTGCCATGGCTATGGAGAAAACTAAGCTTGGAAGTACAGACTATGACCATTTTCACAGTGAACAAATAAAAAAACACAATCACTTGTGGTCCATAGGGAAGTAAAGGCGTATCCAATAAAAAAGAGACACGTGGACGTTGCACTGATTGATGCTCACACGTCAAGTGGGACTCACCGTGTTTTACCAGTTATGTTGACTTGACTAGTGGACCTGGTGTTGACTTTGACAAGTTTGATTGTCATGGTTAAAACAGTAACGGAGTAATCCAGATGGCCCAAATGACTGGCCCATTTGTTTTAGTGGGTGAACCCAAAGCTCAACTCGGTTCTGGAGCATAATTAATCTTGTGTTGTGATTCTTATTTTATGCATTGGTTTGCTTGTTTTGAGCATGAAGAAAGAAGACGGAGAGGCTTCTAAGCAAAGACCATATATATATTAGTAATTTTAATCTCTTAAATATTTATTTATAGTCATGGTCATTTTGTTATTCCAGATGTTTTGCACCAAACGATAATTCTATGTGAGATGAAAAATAGGGGGATACTATTAAAACCTTCTTTTACTTCCGTTAACTACTGAAATGGGCTGAATTTACCTGACCAAAAAAAGAGAGAAAGAAATGGACTGAAATAATTATATTCATTTATATATATATATATATATATATATACACACACTTTATTAAATATATGTATTTTTTGTAAAGGAATAATCAAACACACACTGTTGCAAGTGCATACCCATTTCAGTTGGTATCAGAACTAGACTTGATCTTTAATCTGGTGTCACGCCAAGGGTCCGGCCCGGAGGGTGTCCAGGTCTTTTTTCCAGGTAGACAGGGTGGCCTGAACCGCAATGAAAGCATTGCGAAATTTGGTAAGGTAGAATGTTATAAGGAGATTTAATTTGTTATAAGGGGATTTAATTTGCCCCATAGCATCACCCATTACATGCCCATATACCTTGATGGAGGCTTGCGCACCCAACCTCTTGTACCCGTTGATATATTACTCATTTGGTAGAGTTAGGAGTGACAATTAATATTCGCGCATCGTAATCGTGTCGTGTAAACTTAAGGATATTATACTAAATAGCTCAACCCGAACACGACTCGTTTAATAATCGTGTCAGAAACTATCAACACTAACCCGACCTGTTTATTAAACGGGTCACAGTAGCTCGTTTAATGACTTATTTACAAAAAAAAAGAAAAGAAAAAGTATATTATTTAAATTATTAATAATACTCAATAAAATAATACCTACTAAAAAAATTATAAATTTTAATCAACCAAATTACTAAATAATTTATAGTTTACAAAAGATTAAATTATAAGACACAAGTTTATATAATAATTTTAGAACTTAAATAAAAATTTATTTACAACATATAGTTAAATGTGTATAAACGGGTTATACGGGTTGAACCTCTCAACCCAAACACGACACGATTAATTAAACGGATTAATCGTGTTGACCCGTTTATGATCCGAACCCAATTAAAATTAACCAAAAACCGTTTAACTCGTATCGTGTTGGCGGGTCGCATCAACTTTTGCCACCCCTAAGTAGAGTGTATATATTTCATCCTTTGATAATATTAATTCGTTTTTACATTTTATCTCCTACCTCTTTTAAAATTTTCATTTGAACGCAAAATTAGTAATACATGAAAATGCCCTTAAACACACGTGTGGGGAATCCTTCTGTATCTACTATCTTATTCGGGAGTGCTAATTGCAGTCGCTCAAGTGATTGTCCTTTCACAGTTATTGTTATTATTGGTTAGTTTTAAATGCATTAATTACTTGAGTTTCTATTTTTATGGGGTTCTACAAACATTACTTTTTTTAGATAAAAATATTCTTTTAAATTATCTAGCCTTTCTTCTTATCTTCTCTTTTAATCAATCCATATGAGGATGTGTGTGTATATATAATAACTAATGTTATGTGAATGGATGCTAAAAAAGGAAAAAAAAAAAAAAAAAAAGGTTAGATAGGATAATCCATTCACAATAGATGGATTACGAAAAAAAAAAATACAAACAAAAACGAAAGAGAGCAAGAAAATAGTCCATATACAAGATAGATTCTGAGAATTTTTTTTTAAAAATACAAAATTATTTTTATATAAGTATTCATTTCTTTTCTTTTATTTCTTTTTTTTTTTTTTAAAAAAAAAAAAATCAATTTCTACAAGGATAGTTGTAAAAATAAAAAAGAAACACACACATTTATATAAGGGATAATTCCATAAAAATGGAGTTTTGTGAGTCAAAAGACAAAAGAATGTAGTCAAAATTAAGTTTTCTAAATTAATGGAATTTTCTCAAAATATGAGGTGGACATGAAAATTTAATTTATATCATCTTTTTATTTCCAAAATACCCTTCTATTACTGTTATGGATCTCTGCCTCTGCATCGCCTGTGCTTGAATGCCTCGAGCTTTTTTCTTTTCTTTGGATGAAAGGCCCTCTCTCCATGTAGTGGAATAACTTTTAATGGAGTCTCAATTGTTCCCGAGCAACATTAAAAAAAAAATAATAATAATAAAATAAATAATAAAACCTATTTCATCTATTTCTTTCACCTACCTAACTACCCATTTAAAAATTAAAAAAAATAGCAAGTCCATTTAATCATTAGAAAAGTGCAAATGACCAGAAGTTTTGGATGAATTTTTCAAGTTTATTGGTTGTTCGTTTGGAAAGAATGGTTGTCATATATGGGTTTCTCTCTCTAGATATGATGGGTAATAACAGAATTTCATAACAACAATAGAAGGGTATTTTGGAAATAAATATGCAATGTATATTAAATTTCCATGTCCACGTCAGGTTTTGAGAAAATTCCATTAATATAGAAATTTTAATTTTGACTCCATTATTTTGTTATTTGACTTTCAAAATTCCATTTTTATAGAATTATCCTTATTTATATATATATATAGATAAACAAAAAAAACAAAAAAAAAAAAGGATTTATTTACTCAAGGGTAGGTGTAGGAAGAAATATATAAAGAATTCATCCATCTTTTGTGAATGAATTATCCTATTTATATTTTTTTTTTCCAGAATCCATCTATATTTTTTTCTTTTTTCAGAAACCATTCACATAACACTAGTTATATATATACGCACACATGATCACATCCTTATATGCATAAATTAAAATAAGAGAGGAGAAGAAAGAGTAGATAATTTAAATAGATATTTTTATCTAAAAAAGTAATTTATGTAAAGTCTTCTAAAAATAAAAATAAACATTAATGTATTTAAAACTAACTAATTCTAATCCCGACTGTGCAATTATAATTAGTACTCCTCCTTATTCGGATACAGTATTCAAAATGGTATATAAGATAGTATACCAATGACAGCTCAGCCAATATATTATTCTCCTTCAATTAAGTCCCAAATCTTCCAATCCGCTAGAAAACTTTATCTGCCCACTCGTCTCTTGAATTCTTTAGTAGACGAGAATTGTAGTTGAAGAGAAGCGAAGTACAGGCTAGTAGGCTACAGCAATGAGGCTTTTGACTATTATTATTGCAAGAGGATAATAAATAGAAAGAAACTAATAAAGAAGAAAATAAAATGGGAAAATGAACCTAATTTGGCATGTATAATGATGTGTGCACGCACCATACAGATCTATATGGTCTTTACTCATACAGAAAATAATGGAAGCCATAGTCGTGAAAGATGCTACTCCATTATCCATGTAAACCCACTTTTCTGTTGATTTTCTTTATTATAATCAGTTCTCAATGGAATTTTTTTTTTCTATTTTATTATTTATTTACATACATATATATACTGTGAAGATCTCTCTGTTCTCAATGAAATTTTCTTTCTATTTTATTATTTATTTATATACATATATATACTGTGAAGATCTCACTGGAGTGAATCAAAGATTGTAATATTTATTAGTGATGGTTTAAATGGCAATTTTATTTGTTTAGTAAATTTATTTTAATAATTGTGCAATTTCATTATTTTAATAAAAATAAAATTGCATCATTTGTGTAGGCAAAAAGAACTTTAGACAATTCGGTTGATTGTTCGGGTAGTCAACCAAAAGCTATGTGGGTTATCTTTGGAACAGAAAAAAAGAAAAAAAATAAAACAATTTGGAATAAATATTATTCCCAAAATGAGAAACAACACGGTTACATATTGAAAATTACTCTCTTATTTATTCAAATGTAAGTACAGAAAATTTCAACATAAGTAGTTCAGCATATACTATAATAGCGCACAAAAAAAAAAAAAAAAAAAAACAAAAAAAGCCCCCTAACATATCTCTTTTTAGGCAACATCATCCAATTGAGAGAGATGCTCAAATGGGAATGGCTCTGGACACCTTAGGGTAAACAACGGTGGCCGGATGAGCCATGATGCGGCGGCCCTTCGAGTGGCGGAAGATGTAGACGAGAGCGCCCACCGGCCATTCCACCACCGCCGTGGCCACAAACGCCAAGAACCCAAGTGTGGGCCCAAATACCTTGCACCGGCAAGGGTTACTTCTCGTACCGCACTGGATGCATGTCGGAAAGTTCGTCATCTCTATATTTCAATTAATGCCCCTCTCTCTCTCTCTCTCTATATATATATATATATATGCGTGTGCGTGTGTGAAGAGAGATATTTGTGTACGTAGTAGTAGATATTTCTGAAGGAGTTAAGAGAACAAATGGACAGATGGGTTATTCTGGGGATAGCAGTTCTTCACTTTTTATAAAGAAGGTTTGTAAGAGGTGGGACACGTGTTGACACAGTAAGAAGAGGATGGGACCCTTGTACCGACCTCGGTTGCTTCGTGGCATTATATGAGCGGGACCCGTGTTGACACAGTAAGAAGAGGATGGGACACTTGTACCGACTACCTTTGATTTATTCATATTCTTTTTTTGTTCCCCTGGTTTTATGGTAATTTTTTTAAAAATGAAGGCCCAAGAGTCCAACCGTTTCAAATAATGTTAGGTTCGAATAATTGGATGCTTTTCCAAAGTTTGTTAAGGCTGATATTCCTCTTTTGAACATGATACAATAATTTGTGGATAAGTTAAGTCGAGAAGCGTGTTGTCTTCAATAAGAATTTCGAGTCTAGAACTAAATTTTATCTGAAGCCTTTACTTTACTTACAAGTTACTATACCAACTGAATCTTCTCTTAAAATTCATTTATAATAAATTACATAAAATTTTGACCAAATTATTTAATCATGAAATTCTTTTAATATTAATGTGAAAGCATCTCTATAGTCTATACTTATTTTAGTATTTTTGACTAGTTAAATAACTTGGACAGGATGAATAAGATTTGCAACGAACGTGATGGGACCACACCAATTTGTTCCTTTTAAAGAGATGTCGACTAAAATATCCACAATTCTCTTTCTTTATTAGAAAAATCAAGAAAAGAAAAAAAGTGATCACTGAGTTCTCTAAGAAAAGGCAAAAAAGGGTGGCCACTGACTATTTAATTTTAGTAATATCTTTTATTCTTTTCTTCCATATTATTTTTTATTTATTTTCTTTTTTCATAGGAGGTTCAGCTCGTACTTCGTAGGTGGAGACATAGGTCCAACAGGGACGGCACCTATCTGTGTCTGTGTGGAATAAAAATAAGTTCACCTCTTGGCCCAATCACACACATGGCTCATCATCTATTCACAAAGCCCAATCTGAAACACTGATCTGTGAATTCCAGGCCAAGACCATTTCATTCGCATTAAATTGGTCCAACTCACACGCTCTGTAATTCCATCAACCATCAACCAACTATAACAATCTCTCTATTTAGGTTATGCTTAGGTGTAACTTTAGGTTCAACTTAAGTTACATAAATTTTGTCAACGTGTGTTACTCTAACGTTTTGTGTGCAATCTTACTCCTATTTTTACTATGTGTAATTTAGACTTTACTGTTTTCACCCCTCCTGAATTTGTTCTCACACATAGGGCTCAACTACTTGTTATCCTACCAATTTGTAATGGTTAGAGGTTCTGGAGCTCAAATGTGAAATCACATTGATCATGGCATATTTTGACAGTATATATATATATCTATAATGTAAAAAAAAGGAGTAAAAAAGGTAAGTAGTACATATAAATTCCCAACATTTAAAATAGTGCAAATTTCCAACGTTCAATTTTGACCAATTTTTTTATCAAAATTCTAAAATACCTTTAATAATCAATATTTTTTTCAAATATAAGGGCATTTTAGGTATTTCAATCTTCAAATTTATAAAATAACCTTATTTGCTCAATTTGAAAAATGTAGAGATATATATATATATATCTTTTTTAACCCTTTATTTGCTTAATTTGAAAAATGTAGTTTTTATTTTATTTTATTTTATTTATTTTTTTTTGGCACTTTAACCCCCTTATTTGCTTAATTTGAAAAATGTAAAGCATCGATAATATATTGGTTGATGACTTTAGAGCAAATGCAATCAATTCCCTTGGTTGAAAAGAAGAATTGTTCCTAACTTTCAAGAAAGAAAGAGGAAAAAGTAATTCCTTCCATCATCTTTTGCTGGGCATATGATTCCCCTTCTATTCCTATATACATTCTATATATACAAAAAGAAATTGTTTAGACCTGCTTTTAGGACTCTTCCATCTTTATCCGCCAAAAGCTTGTGATCCTTAAAATATTATGATCATCAAGCCAGAGTTTCATGTACAACGCACAATTGGGTAGAAAGTCCACACAGTTGACGGTCAGGATTTTCACTTTACTTTCTGATTGCATCATACCCAAAATTATCCACGGCTGTAGTAGGTGCCCTTATCTTAAATATATGTATACTAGTATATGACTAAATATATATATATATATGTGTGTGTGTGTGTGTGTGTGTGTGTCATATGCATTCAGCCATCCACTAATGGGAGGAATAATGCCAGCCTCTCACTTTTTGCAGCCTGTCTGAAGCATTTCTCTAGTTAAAAGAGTGGCAATGAGAGGTCGACTTGTACATCAAGCTAGCCTCTTCTATTTCAAAATACTAATTAATTAATTGTGCTACTCTACTTCAAATTTTGTTTATGCAAGACCACTGAATTAATTAATGGACTCCCTCATGTCAAAATCTCAGGAGCCAATTCAATTAAGACATCTTTATTTAATTTTATGTCATTGAAAAAGTCTTTTATCCCCGAGTGTGACTACTTATTTAATACATGTTTCTCTAAAATCGTATGTCATGTTTGATAAAGTGCAGGCCATAAAATTTTCTCCAACTAATTTGACATATGATTTTAGAGAAACATGCACTAGAGATAACGATGTTTAGAACATGACTTAGTGTAAGTTACATATATATGCTTCTTGATTGGGATTCTGGGAATTGATGTGTGTGAATGTAACAGAGAATATATGGAGAGAGAATATATATATATATATATCTAGAGAGAGAGAGAGAGAGGGAGAGAGGTGGGTGACATACATTTACAACGTCCACATGCAATTCGCTTTCATGACCACATCACATAACCATATAAAGAGGCTCATAAATTCATAATGCCAAGTCTTTTTCCCAAAAATGACCAAAATTACTTAACCCAATCGTCATAGCATTTGTACACAACTGTGCATGCACCACCTAACGTAAGGAAAAATTCCCCAAATCGATCAGTACTTCTTATACCCATAACTCTTGTATTCATATATATATATATATATATATATATAAATTACTCTCTCTCTCTCTCTCTTCATTTTATTCTCCATCCATAAATAAGGCAACAATCAATCAAGTGCGTGACTAGCTACAACTAGAAAAAATGTGGTTTTCAACTCATCAATGCATTCATGTACTTGTCATTCTGCTGCTTCTGTTCATCTCTGATCTCCCGCAGGTTCACGTTAGTGCTAAATCCTCGGAAAAAGTAGACGAAACAGTGGTGCCCCTGGTACCCGATTCAGATATAAAGTGCATGTCCTGCTCCTGTGCGAATCCATGCAGCCAGCAGCAGTTTCCTCCACCACCGCCGCCGCCGCCGCCGCCGCCACCACCTCCTCCAAAGGTTCAGTATTGCGGTACTCCCGAAACACAAACACAAACACCGCCACCACCAAGGTTCATTTATGTGACGGGGCAGCCGGGGGATTTGTATCCTGCTGCGAATTTGTATCCTACTGATCCCAATCTCAATGATTGGTCGTATTTCTACTCCGGTGCTGGCCGGGATAGGTTTGTTCTAGTTTTGGTGGTTTTGATGGGATGTGGAGTGTTTGAATTATTGGCGTTTTTGTCATGATTAATGGATTGTAAGCTAATTAATGCGATATTATTGATTCAGTTTGTAAAAGACTGATGGTGGTGTTGTTAATTTGATGATGAGCGCCCTGTTGTTCTTGATTTCTATTGACATGTTTGTTCATCTCAATAACAATCTTTTTTATTGAATATTGCTCTCTCTCTCTCTCTCTCTCCACAAGTGTGCACTCATTAATTAATTATGGTTTTTTTAAATCAAGAAGATACTTTCACCGCCAACATGCATCTTCAGCCTACCATGCTATACACAACTACAAATAGTGCGAAGTGCAATCACTGATAAAATGAAAAGTTAATTACATATCCTTTCTTAAATTAAAAATATATGAAAAGAAAACTATGAGAAAAATATTAAATTTCTCTCTTATATATAATAATAATAATAATTTTAAGAAAAAACCACGTGTAATTCTATGTATTATTGTGCATACCAGTGATTTGGAGGAAGTTCTTCCGATCCCAAACAAATATTCGCAGAATACTTTAAATTTGATTGGGAAAAAAACGTCATTATTTTTCTGACATGGTTTATCTTAACCCTAGTCCTGATGCATGTATTACAACATACACATACACTTAATAAATTATACTAAAACATGTTCAATCACACATCATTTTCAATATGGAGCACACACTAATTAAATTGATATCTAAAAGCAAATTAATTAATACTGGCAGTCAACATCCAAATCCAAAATATATAATAATAGATTCAAATTCTATGTTTCAGTATGTCAAATATTAATTAATATATTGACACAATTAGCTAATTTTCCTAATGAAGCATAAAAAAATATTAATTTCCAGTAGAGTTCATACAATGCTTAGAGCTCTGGTACTGGTAGGGAAGTGATGCGATGTGACGGATGCAATATATACATTGCTTAATTTGCCCTCCAGCTTCTTGCTTTTTTTCAACAAGAGCATTGTAGTAAGGTGAAATACTCTTACCTTCCTTTATTTTTACGCACGATTGTCAAAATAGTCTTTGACCTCTTTGTTCAAATATTATTCAATTAAAATTATTGTCAAAATAATCTTTTAATATCTTCTGAGGTTTGTCAAAATAATCTCTAAAACCGTGTTGAGGTTTGCACAAGTACTCTTATTACTTATAACATTAATCAATGGAATATTTTTTAAATACCCAAACTATCCGTAAGTGAGAGAAAATGACTCAAAGGACCTTATTAAAATACCCAATAACCAATTTCAATCAAATTTAATTGGACAAAACTACACTTTCTTATATCTACCCTTTTGGATTGTTTTTGCAAAGTTGAAAATAATTTTTTGTGAGCAGTTGAAGACAATATATATATATATATATATATATATATATATATTAACAAGTGGCTTGTTGATAAATCAAATGATGAATTATTATTAGCCAATGTCTATTTTATTGAATTATTTTACACACTGGTCATAAATTAAAATAATTTTGTTCAGCCATTTTTGTAACAACTCACTCCACTACATGGTATGATATTGTCTGTTTTGGGTTTGAGTCCTTACAATTTTACTCTTGAATTTTATTCCAAAAAGCCTCATATTAATTGGAGTGACACACCTACAAATATAATACTCCCCCTTTCCGCACTCAGGCGCTTGTTGGCCACACTTTTGATTGGGTTAGACTCTAATACCATTTGTAACGACACACTCCACCACATGGTATGATATTGTCCGTTTTGTGCCCGAGTCTGCATGGTTTTTCTCTTAGATTTTATTCTAAACGACCTCGTACCAATTGGAGTGACACACCTATATATATATCACTTTCCTTTTCGCATCCAGATACTGTGAAATTGTGTACCTGTAACTCGCCCAGTATGATAGTCTGCCAATACCTCTTACACCCATCTATAAGGTCATCACAATTTTACAAACTAGTCATTACGAAATAGGTACTTGAAGTACCACTATTTGAAATGCTTGAGAAATGTAGGAAAAATTACGGAACCAAATACAGATTTCAAATTTTGTAGAAGCACATTCATCTCCAACATCATTAGCAAGATTATCTGATCAAACATGGATATGATTTTTTCTTATTTTCATTTTATTTTCTTTTAACTGAGCTAGCCATATATTGTTGATGTGATTTTTGTTCTATATTTTTTGTTTGATTTTGATTTTGATTTTTTTTTTTTTTTTGACAATACTTATTGTATTGTGATAATTATGTGAATATGAGTTTTGATTTTTGCTCTATAGTGAAAAAAAAAAATATTATATTTTTATTTTTATATTCATGTAATTAATTTTGGTCCCCCAAACCAAACGTTGGCCCTTGACGTCGCGGTAGTTAGAGAAAGTTGAACAAACTTCAACGTGTCTTCAATGTGTCAAGACTATTTTGATAATAATTTTAGTTAGGAGTTATTTGAACAAATCTCTGCGAAGGTCACTAATAAGAGATTAATATGTAAATTATAAGGCAATAATAACATGTTAATATTTTAAGTGCATTAAATTTTTGGGACCATATATAACGTGTAGTTATGGCAACGATGTATGAGGTTGACACACCATCCACTTGAGCTACCCTAATTACCTCAGCATTTACTCTTTCAAAGTGTACTATTGCATTATTTCTTATATATATATATATATATATATATATATATATATATCTATATTTGGAAGAATATTAATCTTTCTTGGCATTCTTTCTTAATATTCTTCACCATGAAATTTGTTGATTGATTCTCCATTTAGTGATATCTTTTGTTGTCCTAAATCAGGAATAGACATGATCTCAGTTGGCCATAATGTGAGAATCAGTTGATGTTGTGAACATCAAATCATGCTCTGAATTGTTCATATTGACTACTTCTCACATGTTTGTTTATTATACTGATGTATAACTGAGCATATTTATGTGTTACAGCAACATTGTAGTAGTTTTTTAGTTGTGAGGACTGAATGGTCAATTCAACAAGATGAGTATTTAAGTGAAGCAAACTCATCACATACATGCATGACTCAGCTTACCACAATCGCAACCGCAGCAATCTAAAGCTTTTCCACTTGTTAATTTCAATACCGACTCTTCCTGCCCTTTGTTTAGGATAAATGAGTAGACGGGGAAATGCAAAAGTTAATCTATAAACTAAAAAGTATGTAGTTGAATTGTGTTTTTCTCTGTATATATTATGTATATCTATACAATTATTATAACATTATCTTTCTTTTTTGGTTCGGAAGAAGAGGAATGATGACTCATCCATCACCTTTTCTCCTTTTCTCCTTTTTACCAAACGAATGAAGTTCGCTTTTTCCTTCCTGTCTTCTCTCCACCCCTCTTCCTTCCTAGCTACCAAACTGAGCAGAAAGCTTGCTTCCAAACATATGATAAAATCACAGAAGGAAACTTAACTAGGTTAAGAAGCAAGGACTAAGCAGGCTTAGCATGCATGTTGGATACCAATTTGCGTTAACCCAGCCCGGCCAATAAAGCCCAATAGATTTGCATGTTGTCATCTGTATCGTTTGTCCCCAAGTCCAGTAAGTTATTTTGGCCCAATATGATCTCTTCCTTTCCTTTTACTTTTTTTTTTTTAATTTTTTATTTTATTTTATATGATACAATATGTAGATAAATAATTCAACATTCATACTGACTTACTGAGGCAAAGAGACAATGGGGGACAAAAGATCATATTGCTTGAGGATTAAAATTTTCCTTTTAAAAAGGAAAATTCAATATGGACTCCTATCTTAAATAGTATCTGCTTACCAAAAAACAACAATCCTATAATGGAAGTTGCCATACGTACACTTCAAATAAAAATAAGTGATGTGGAGAATTAATGATCAAATCTTTCCTTACTAAAATTTTGCAGAGTATATATATATATATATAGTGTGTGTGTGTGTGTGTGTGCCAAAACAAAACCCTAACAGCTCTCTCAGACCACCAACCACGCATCTTCAAAGCCCACAACCTCATTCCATGGCGAGTTACTTCACCAAACTAGTCCATACCATACTTGTAGCCGCAGTAATATCAAACTTTGTAGCGCATCCTCGTGCTGAAGTTTATCCTCCAATGGAGTACACAGGCTACACTCCACCTCCTCCTCCTGAAGTTTATCCTCCAATGGAGTACACAGGAGGCTACACTCCACCTCCTCCTCCTGAAGTTTATCCTCCAATGGAGTACACAGGCTACACTCCACCTCTTCCTCCTGAAGTTTATCCTCCAATGGAGTACACAGGCTACACTCCACCTCCTCCTGGAGTTTATCCTCCGATGGTGTACACAGGCAACACTCCACCTCCTCCTCCGAATCCTATGTTCCCTTTTTTACCTTGGTATTACAGGGTTCCTCCTCGACCTTCATCGGCAACAAGTCTTGTGCAATCAACATTCCTTACACCAATCATGATTTTACTAGTCTACTTTTCATTCTCTTTCTTGTATTATTAGTAATTCAACTCATCATGATCAAGAGTACGTTCGTTATGTCCATGTTGCAGAAGGTGTAGCAAGTTCATGACGTGAAGAAGAAGAAAATTATAGGAAGCCTTTTTTTAGTTTGATTCTCTTCTACTTGTGCCTTAATTCCAATATTTACATTCTAATTTAGGCTCAGTTTGATTGGATGCAAAATATTAAATATTTTTTTACCAATTCTAAAATATTTACGAAATAGGAAATATCTATTTACTTGTTCACAAACTTGCTTCTAGTTTGGTTTTCTTCTACTTGTGCCTTAATTCCAATATTTATATTTGATCTTAGCACTAATTTATGCTAGTTTAGTTTCTTCTACTTGCCTTAATTCCAATATTTACATTCCATCTTGCACTCATTTAGGCGATGTTTGGTGGATGTAAAATATCTGATATTTGGTAACTTGCTTCTAGTTTGGTTTTCTTTACTGGTTCAGAAACATACTTCTAGTTTGATTTTCTTATACTTGTGCCTTAATTCCAATATCTACATTTTGGTGGTTCTAAAATATTTACGAAATAATAAATATCTATTTACTTGTTCAAAAACTTGCTTATATTTACTTGTTCAAAAACTTGCTTATATTTACTTGTTCAAAAACCTACTTCTAGTTTGGTTTTCTTCGATGTTGCACTAATTTAAGCTAGTTTGATTTTCTTCTACTTCTACTTCTACTTGCACTAATTTCAATATTTACATTAGATCTTGCACTAATTTAGGGTCTATAAAATATTAAATATTTTTTTAAACTCTTTGATGTTTAAATATATTAAAACTTAACAAAAATAGCTGGCCCACCATAAATAATTTTACACTGTGGACCTACAAAAACGGACAAAGCAAAAATAAAAAATAAATATTTTACTTGAAAAAGATGATTTGTGCAAACTCACAAAAGAGAGTTGACAAGTCAGATTTACAATATTCTGATGTCCTTTATATTAACCATAAATCAACGGTAACTATAAAACAGAAATTCATTAATTGCTAACCACAAATCAAATGATAAGTAAACAGAAAATAATGGTAATCGTATAATTAAAACACACGCAGACAGCAAAATGATATATCAAAAACGAGGGGTGGCCTGAAACTCGAGGAAAGAAAAATGAAGGCAAAAGCTGAAAATTTATTATAATTTTACAATAATAAATATAATAGTTATACCGGCACAGAATAAATATTTTTGTGGTACTTGATCCTCTCCCAGACAATTGCTAATCGCAATATGCAAGAACCAGACTTATAAGATCTTCCTAGTATAACTAACACTAGTAGTATTATTACAGTTCATATCTCAATACAACAGCATAGTAACCCCAAAGGGTTCAATAAATAAAATTCTGACATATTTCTGATCTATATTTTCTCCTCTCTTCCCGGGGGAGTCTATGAAATACAGAAGGGTGGGTTCATGCAATCCCGCAGGTTAATGCTTTTATTGTCTGGCGGCGCCACATTGCAGTGTTGGGATCAAATCTAAGCTCCCACGTAGGCCAGTAGTGCAAATCCTGCTTCAATGTCATTACCCGAGGCTTCCCATTCAAGTGGACAGTCTTGACACGAACAAACTCCCTGTCTTCTAATTCCTGCAATTATTTAGAAGGATTATAACGGATAAACATACATGATCCAAGGATGGTCTACTTTCCATGCGATGAATCAGTGACATTACGACATCTAGTTGACTTAAAATTATTGGAAAGGCGAATTTTAAATGGCTTCACATAGGCAGAAATTTAAACCTCGTATCATGCAAAATCACGTGTTCAAGCGGCTAGGTATGTGAATCTACTTGTGTTAAATTCTTCCATAATATACAGAATAACAAATAATACACCAATTTGATTCAATGACAAAATAATCCAATTAATATAAACCATAAAAACAATAACCGAAAAATCACTCGTGTTTACAAAAGATAGCAAGGCGCTACCTTTGGATAAGGTGGTGACCTAAACTTAGATTGTTTAGACATGCCTCTGCTTGAGGATCGGAAATAGTAAAAATTGTGAAACAACGCAAAACATCAGCCGTCCAAATTCACAACTCATGCACCACAGACTATGAAGGACCACCAACACACATGCCCACCCATGCCCCAGTCGCCTTTCGGATAGTATTCTCTTTATTGAATTGATACTACAAACATTTTAGAGAATACTTTATATTCAATATGTTGTTATCAACATTTATGTGGTCGGCCTTGAAAGGGAACTTCATTTGTGTTGTGCATTATTTTAAACAGTAAGAGACTAGTAGCAACAAGATTTTCAAATTCAGAAATATAAAATAAAATAAATCTTAGTCTCAAAGTATGTCTTGAATAATACAGAAGGTAGACATACCTTTGTTACATTGATGAAGGCATCTAGATCAGGAGTTGATTTCCCATTAACTTCAACAATCCACTGAAGAGCATAAAGTCCATATCTATGCACTGGACTCCCATGACACCACCTGAAAATTTTATTTTTATAAATTTTCAACCGCAGTATATTAAAAAAGAGATGCAAGAAGCACTTAAATAAGTAGCAAGCTGATGTAAATTCTAGAAATGGTTATTGGTAGGAATTGGCTAGGGATGGCCTCCCACTTAAAGGTTGACATTATTTTAGAGCACGATGGTGTCTAAATAAACAAGTTTGAGCAGCTTGGCTGCCAGCTTCCAAGACCATCCAGCATGATCCAACAATAGACTTCTTTTGGAACTGAGACAAGCCCTAGCAACCCAGCTCAGAGTGATTTGGAAAATAATTTCCACTTACTTATAGGTGAAGTTAATTTGGATTATCAAACAGGCACCCAATAATAGAAAATTCCGACATGTTACTGCCAACATTCCATACTTGCTGTCATCTCAAACTGAACGGGTCTCAGAAAGAGCAAAACCCTTACCTTGCCACATATACACCATGGCCTTGTTGTGGAAGAAATCCAAGAGCACGCACCGCTGGGTGAGGATCCTGGACAACAGATCCACACCAATTTATCACCCGTGTTGTTCCATTTCCATCCCTCACATCTGTTCCCACAAGAAGTTTGATTTCACGTCCCTGCCAGAGATGGAGGTCATGCGTAAAGACAGACTTCGGCTATAGAACTTTCCTTATTTTATACAAGCAAATGGTCTTTACCAATATAAATTAAATAACTGAAATAAAATTATCAGATATCTTTTACCAAATAAGTCAAATGAAAAAAGAGGGAGAAAAGAGGAAGGAAGGAAGGAAAGGTGGGGGGGGAGGCAACGGGTATTGCTTTTTGCTTACCTGACGGAAAATAGTCAAGTTAAGACTCCCATCATTGTCATCACTTTGATCTAGCGCCTGACAAGCATTTTCAATGTCATGGAAGCATGTAACAGGCTCTCCATTAATTGCCAAGACCATGTCACCTTGTTCTAATAGATTCTCAGCTTTTGAACCAGCCAAACAACCCTTAACACGTAAGACTTGTCGTCTAACAGGATCTTTCTTGACAAGAGCCTACAACAGACAAATCAGTGATTAATTGAAAAAACAATGCTATTTACCAATTTCCAAAAGTAGTGGGAAATCATCATCAGACGTTTCAAGATTCTCTGGAGCAACTACTAAAATAAGGTACCCAAATAATGTGAACTGGAGAAACATAATCTTGTCAGCATTTTGGAGAACTTCGGTAAAAAAGCAAACATAATCATTGAATGTGTGGAAGAGCATTGAAAAGGAAATTTCAGTTAAGCAAGTGTACCTGGATCCATTCATCACTCAATCCAAAACTCCGGGCCTTGGAAAGCAAAGTAGGATAAAGTTCAACCTCTAAAATCCTGATGAGCGGCATTGGCCTTTTGATGCCATTTATGAGAAGAGGTGGTCCCTTTGCACCAGATATGATTTTGTCAAGGACTTGACTGATTGTATAAATTGGCATACCTCGTACAAATTGATGATCTTCTGATGAGTTACAACCATATTTTAGCTGCAATTAGGAATACAGACATCAGAACATGTTTCGATAACTAAGCAACTCACAAGCAGTGAACTGTACAAACCTGGGTTGAAAAGCTTCCCCAGATTGCTTGAACCCTTCCATGCTCATCAGTTAGCACACCCGAGAAAGTACTACCAAAATCTAAAAAAGCCAAGAGATAATACCATGACAAATATATCAGGGAAAAAAAAAGTATAACTAAACAATAATCAATACTTGGATGATTCAGAACCAAACCAAAGAGTACACTTCTAAAAAACAGATCTTAAAAAAATAAAAATTTAAAATTTTTAAAAAAACAAAAAAATAAATAAATAAAAAAAACAAGGGGTGGAATACAATTTACCAGTATCAAGCTCAATAACTTCCATATTGGTTGCTCTATAACGAGGACAATCAGCCGAACCAATATTCAGAGCAGCATAAGGATTGGTAACAACAGATTTCCTTGATGTTGCCTGCAGGCTCCTACTTAACCCCACAAGATAGACTGGATCTCCACGACGCAGTGTAGGTTCTGTCACAGAGCTTACAATCAATTATCCCTTGAGAAAAGAAAAATAACTTGGGGTATAACATCACATAAGTTCATTTTGAAAAATGTTGATAAGAGAGACATGGTCAGTTCAGGAGAGAATAGTTTCAGAATCAGAATTTATCCTTCCTCCCATGAACATGACCAAAACATAGAACCACTCAGAGTCGAAGTGCATTTATTTGCAATAAAAACATTTAATCAACATCATCATCATCCTTGCTATTAATGTGGGTATCTCCGTTTCCAGAGTACAATCTGCAGCTCAAATTAGAGCCAAGACACAACTAGCCGGTAAATCCCAGGTCTCCCTTTGGTCAGGATGGGGTCGGCTACATGAATTCTCTTTTTCCATTCTATTCTATTACACGCCATGTCTCCTCTTTATAATTAATTTTTCAAAGTCATTTCTAATTACTTTATCCCAAGTTAGTTTTGGTCGACCTTTCTATCTCATACCTGCTATGCAAACTGATCTTCTTTTTCTTACTAATGTATCTGGGGGTCCATATTGTTTGTTTCCATACAACCTAAGCTTGATTATCTTATTTTGTCACTAATAAGTGTTATTCTTTATCTCCCTCACATTTTGATAAGTAAACCTGTCTCTTCTATTCAATATTATCATTCATCTCAACATTCTTACTTCAACTATATGCATAGTTGTTAAAAGAGCGCAATGCGCCTCAAGGTGCAGCTACTGCGCCTTGGTATATCCAGGGCAAGGCGTCTTTAAACAGGCGCGCCTTCAACAAATAGGGGCGGAGCCCTAGGCGCATCAGAGGCGAGCTTCTTTTTAGTGTACTTTTTATCTCTGCCCTTTTTACTTGTAACCATCTGATTGATGGACTAACAAAAAAAAAATAAAACATAAAGAAAAGGACTTGGTCAGTTGATGTCTCGACTCTTGACCCAAATCAATGATAAAAATTAAACATATAAAAGAAAGCTCCTCTCTCTTTGTTCCGCAATCTAAGGTTTGGGTCTGAAATTGGTTTGCGATTACAAAACCTCAGGGCTCTGGTGCGATTGGACTGAAAGCTCTGCTCTCTCTCTTCTGCGTCTCAGCAACTCAGGTAAGCACCGTAAGCTCTCTCTTTTCTTCTTCTCTCTTCTCCCTTCTTCTTCTTCTTTTTCTTCTACTCTCCTGTTCAAACTGAAAGCTCTTTCTTCCCATTCTCTCTCTTCTTCTTCGTTTCCTTCTTCTTCTTCTTCAGACTTTAGGCTTCGAACTGAAAATCTAAGCTGAAATCTCTGTTTATTACTTCTGTTTTTCTGCAACCTTTACACTCCAGATTCTGTTTTTCACTCCAGAATCTGTTTCTCAGTTCTCAATTGAATTACAAACATCTCTCAATTCTGTTCTTCACTCCAGAATCTCATTCTATTGTCTCTGTTTTTTTTTTAATCTGTTTTTCTGCAACCTTTTCACCCAGAATCTGTTTTTGTTTTACTAATCTGTTTTTTTAATCTGTATTTCACCCCAGAATCTGTTTCTCAGTTATCAATTGAATTACAAACATCTCTCAATTCTGTTATTCACTCCAGAATCTCACTCTGTTATTCACTTCAGTTCTCACTCCAGAATCTGATTTTCAGTTTTATATGCTCTCGAAATTGACAAGCTAAGTATTGCTTTGAAATTGACATGCTATTGTTTTGGGTGCCATTTTTTTTTTTCTCAACTTGCACCTCACTTCGGTTGGGCGTGTGCCTCGCCTTGCGCCTCAGGAGGCCTCGTCGCCTTAGTGCGCCTTGAGCTTTTAACAACTATGACTATATGAATGCATTATTCTTGTTTCATTTTTAGCTGCCAACACTCTGCCCATGTATATATGTTGGCTTCCTAGCCGTCCTATAAAATTTTCTTTTAACCAATTTAGTACTTTTAAACACATATGATACCTCTAGCATATCTCCATTTTGTCCATCCTACTCTAGTACTGCTAGTAATATCATTATTCTGAGTAATCCTTTGGCCTTAAATTAATATTGTTAAATTATCACTTTCCTGGACTTTATTGAATTTACATTCCACAAATTCTATTTTAATCTTACTAATTTCTAGTCCTTTAATTTCTGTTGGAAAATTATTATAGGAATGATTTAAGTGACGAAATGTTAAGGTTGCTATACTTGGGTAACAAGTTGTTACCATATTTGTATTTGACTTTGTGTAATTCCTTTATTATACTAAAATACTTGTAGAGCAAGAAATTCTCTAGTCACAAGCCCAATTCACTTATAAATAAAGGTGGATATTGTAAACAAAATTAAAAGAGAATGTAATGAAAGAGATGTAGCCCTTTGGGCTTTGTGTGTCATGGATGTAAGCTCTAGTGGTTAAACCACGTTATATTATTGTGTTCTTCATGTTTTAATTTCTCTCTTCAACTTTTATTTTTTTTTCCAACATGGTATCAGAGCAAGTTTATCATACTCTACTTTGTACTATACTCTTCTTGGATCAACTCGCCTTATATCTCCGGATCAACTTAGATATCCAAATCAACTTGTCTGATCAACTCATCTCAAATTTACTCGTCTGAGACTCTCGACTACTTCATATTTAATTGCAAGTTGAACAATTGCGTTAAATCTCCGTGTACCAACTTGGGGGGGGGGGGGGGGGGAGAGTTGGAAAACAATTGTAGGAGTGATTTGGGGGGTTGGAGAATAACTGTATGAGTGATTTAAGCCCTCAAATCACTCCTAGACAGAATGTTAACGTTGCTATATTGGTCAACAAGTTGTTACCATATTCGTATTTGACTTTGTGTAATTCCTTTATTATAAAATATTTGTGGAGCAAGAAATTTCTATTCTCTAGTTACAAGCCCATCTTCTTATTGTTAAGAGGTGCTATATGTGCAAGAAGACGGGTGAATCCATCAACCATTTTCTTATTCATTGCTCAGTGGCTAGGGATGTTTGGTCTATGTTTTTGGTTGCGTTTGGTCTTCCATGGGTGTTCTCAGAAGCCACGGTAGACGTGTTGGAGACTTGGAAAGGGTATACAGTGGAGAGCCGAGTCAAAGATGCTTGAAGGGCCACTCCCCTTTGTATTTTTCGTGGGGTCTGTGACGCGGGAGAAATAAGAGATATTTTAAGGGAGAGGAGTCTCCCATTTGGGCTATTAAATACAGTATTCTTACTTTTTTATTCTTTTGGGTAAATGGGCTGGACTGTAATTCAATGGATTGTCTTTTGGATTTTGTGGATAGCTTAAAGCTATAGTGTCGTCTTGGACGGTTGTTGTCTTCCTTGGGAGCGCTTCCCTTTTAAGCGCCTTTTATAAAATCTTACTTATCAAAATAAACTAAAATAGAGGTGGATATTGTAAACAAAATTAAGAGAGAATGTAATGAAAGAGACGTATCCCTTTGGGATTTGTGTGTCATGGATGTAAGCCCTGGTGGCTGCTGAACCACGTTATATTCTTGTGTTAATGTTTTAATTTCTCTCTTCAACTTTTATTTTTCGTTCAACAATTTCTAATGCATTCTTTAATATTTATACTTTTGTTTCTAATATTTCCTTAAAAGTATCTAACAACACTGTGAGAACAGCAAACAACAATCACTATGATTTTCTTCTTGTATTACGGAAAAATTATTAGTTTCTTCACATATCATACAAACTCTAATCTTTGCCTTGTTATATATATCCTTAATAATCTTTAAGTTTTAGAGTGACTCATTTTCTTTGTAAAAACCACCAGATTATATTCCTTAGCATTCTATGTCTTCTCAAAGTCTATGAAACCATATGCGGATAATTTTATTTGCTTTAACAATATTCTATTAACTGTCTACTTAAATAAATGATCTCCATAATAGAACTTCCTGGCACAAATTCAAAATGGTTTTCAAACAATGTAGATTCAATTCTTAATCTTTGTTCGATAACCCTTTCCTATAATTTCATTGTATGACTCGTTAATTACAATAACAAACCCGGGCTACCTGCCCAATCACACTAACGAACCATCCCAATAGCTGCCAGTGAACGCCATCCGCCCACACACACCCAGCTACGAGTGGTAGCTAACCAGTACTACGCACTCGCCCACTCACACCGGTCTACATCATCACTACACTCACACTTCCGGCTGGGTACAAGCTAAGATACTATTCTGTCACGACCCGAAAATTCTAATAAAATCCTCAATTCATAAAACAATTTATTATATCACATCTATTTTTGTAAAGTTGGTACTATCATACCTTTTCACCGTTCATTAGGCATTATTTCCTCTTTTAAAATTTTATTGAATAAATTTGTTAGGATGCCTTCTTTAAGTGCTCTTATATTTCTCTATTATTGATCTTTTTGTCATCCCTGTATTAGGTTCATTACTCGTAATTCTTCACTAGAAGTAATATTTACATGAAGTTTTAAATTATGAACTTAATTTGAGCTATTTGTTACTTATTCATTAATACGACACCAATCCGCTAATTTCTTGCTTATTTACTACTATGCCCTGTAAATAAGAAATAATAAAGGCAAAGAATATACACACGAAAATCAATAACCAAATAAAGTAAACAAAAATCACACAGTGCCCAAATAAAATCACAGCACATATAAATCAAGTAATCAAGAAGATGCCCAAACAACTCAATTTTGCCAATATACAATTGAATATAGAGAGAGAGGATTAGAAGCTTTGCAGAATATATGTATGAAATGGAATAGAGAGGGATTCCTATATGTACATGTATATATGTAAAGCATAAATGAATGGCTTACAAGTGCTATAATATATATACAATTTACACGGTATACTGTAAATGTACATATGGTGGTGTTGAAGAGTCGATCTAGGGTTTTGGTGGGGATTGTGTTTCAATGAAATAGGGTTTCACGGCAGGGGCTAGGAGGAGGAGAGAGAGCGAGAGAGGTTTCATTGATCTAGGATGTCAGTTGCCGCTCCAGGGTGTCGGTGGTGTTGACTATCATCATCTTGAAGAAGCTTTGTTGCTTTCAAAAGGGGTTCTATGGTTATCTTTAAAAAAAATTTAGCATATAAACAATTAATAGCATTCAAATTGAAATTCTTGTTGATTTAAGTAAATCTACGAAGATTATGAGCTACATTCAACTCTATTGATGAGAAATGATCTAAAACCTAGTGTAAGCAATGGTTTAAGACGGGCCCCCATTCTGCTAATCATCAAGGTTTTTTTTGTGTGTCTTATGGCTCTGAATGTCCTCAGACATAGTTTAAGATGTACATGAAAGGCATACTCCTTCCATATGACCATCAATAAGAAATACCCTCATGCAGTTCCAATTATAGAAGGTGATATAAATTTACAAAGAAAAAATTACACAACATGCAAAAAGTCGGGGGTATTCTTATAGAGAAAACAGAAACATGATAATATTCAAGAACAGACATTCGGGAATCTATTATAAAAAGTTGGCCCTACCAGGAAGAAGTTCAGCAGCATGAACCACTGAGGCACCAGCTCCAAGAGCAGAAGGATCATATGCAATAAGAGCATAATTATGAACAGGATGGAGAAACACCACCTGAAAAAGAAAACTTAGTGGCAATAACAACATTCGATAAAATCCATTACTGTTAAAAATTTAATAATTACCTCCCCCGGAATTTCAATAGGAAAAGCAGCAAAAGAAAGCATTACGTCAGACACAGATATCGCAACAGTGTTCTTGTCAACTGCAACCAATCCCATGGTTTGTGAATGATATATAATAACACCAGTTCCGAAAAAATGCTGTGAGTGGACACCATCAAGCATACAAGATGGTGGCACATGAACCTGAAAATTCGAACATCAGCTTAACTTCGCCTAATCATATCATTCTAATCAGAAAAAGCAAGAAGCTCATCATCAAAAGCCCAAGGTGCACTAAGGCGCTTGAGGTCCTTTGGAGCCTAGGCGCAAGGCGAGGCGCACAATTGAAAAATTAAATTACTATTAAAGCATATTCATATTTCATATTAAAGGCGCAAATGTTGTCAAAGGCGCAGCAAAGCATACAAAAAGCGCAAGTGTTGCGCTTGTACGAGCCTGGAGCCTAGGCGCACCTTTAACAACACTAAGTAAGCCATAGAATATGAACTGTAAAACAGAAGTCAAAAAGTCATGCAAATCAAAGAGAACCATATGTTTCCAGATGAAAATGCAAGGAAAACATAAATATTAGTGCAGCGCTCCACTATCCCTGCAAATCAACATTCTCTCATTGTGAAAACTATGAATATCATTCCCTCCATCCCATATTAATAGTCCATCTTTCCATTTTTAGTTGTCCCGCAATAGTTGTCCCATTTCAAAAATCAATGGACTATATTTTCTAACCTTCCCAATTTACCCTTATTGCATTGAAAGGATAAAAGTCAAAACTTACATCACTCTGGACCCCACGAATTAAATAACAGAGGCTAAATTCGGAAATCCATTCATGCCAAAGCAATAAAAAATATTAAAAGTCAATCTCTAAAAAAGTTAGAATTTTAAAAGTGGACATCTAAAGTTGGACAGAGGGGGTAGTTTTTTTCCTCTATAAATAAGAATATGTAATAAACACCAAATCCATATATAAAGAACACAAAAAAACAACAAACTGGGGAAACAATGGATGCATGAGATAACAGAATGGATGCATGAGCATTATAAAAGATAAAATTGTCTAAAAAATCATTATAAGCATTAGTGTAATAGTCTATTAAATAATATGTAATAACAACAATAAATGTTCAATCAAATGACATCACATTCCCATCTTCAGCACCATTGTCCTCATTAAAATCAATCTCATTATCTTTACCTCAGACACCATCCTAACCTTAACTTTCCTCATTATGCCCATCTATGTCATTAAACCATATTATTGTTATTGTTGTGAGCACTAAATGCAGATGAACGATGTAAATTATATGGATTGTGAACTATAACTTCATTTGGAACTAACAAATTTTCAAATTCTCTGCGAATCTTTGGTAATAAAGTTTTGTGACGAACATAGGATTTGCTTGCATTATATTAATATTTCTATATCTCTCATATTTTACATAATTCATTGAAATTTTTTAGTTAATGTATTTATAATTAAAATTAAAATTTTCTTGAAAAGCTGTTGGACAAAATAGAGATTCTTTTGCAATTTATAACTATTTCAACATGTCTTATGGTTGTGATTATTTATTCAATCTATACGAAGAATATTCTATACAATTAAAAGTTTGAAAATATAAATATTCATTAAATTAGCTTATATTGGAAAACGAAACCCATATTTAATTTGATATTGTTACTGGTTCGCAATATATAATATACATGACTATAAAAGTTAGCTTTATGTACTTCACTTATTTGAAAATCTAAAAATAAAAATAAAAAATAACATTAATCTAACATAGTTTGGACAAATTGCATGACTTGCTTGTAAACAATTATGGTTATACAAATTATGATCTACATTCCATAGAATATTTGAAATTTGATTTTTTTTTTTCTTTCAAAACATATTAAAACGAATGTATGCTTCCTTCAATTGATTGGTTGATGGGTCTTTAAGGAACCTATTAGGACTAGGGCAGGGGACATCAAAATAAAATAATAGCCAATTCAACTGACTGGGACCATGTCAAAGCCGATTCAAACTTGTCTCATGATATATTAGTCATACGATTTGGTAACGGAAAAGATTGCTACGACTGTGTTGACTCAACTGAGTCAGCTTGGAATCAGGTAGGTTTTTGACACGGACAAATCAATAGAATAGTAAACTAAGTCTAAAAGGCAAGTACTAATGTGAACAAGAGATGGTTCCAAGCTTCTATCTCCCTCTTCCATATGCAATTTTTTAAAAATTGCCATTCCCTCCTCTCAGTACACTGAAACATGGTTTACACCTATAGTGCTGGGAAAAAAACAAACAAACAAACAAAGTGGGACTAGAACAATAATTCAGAAATCAGTTGCAACTTGTTACAAGATTGAAGGAGATCCATGATAACTAGACAAATGCAATTATCCCCACATAATGGAGTGCTAAGACCGGTGGACTAGACATAAATCTAACTTTTCACAGTATTATGCACAAAGTGGCTGCCATCACACTTGAAAATTTAAAATTTTACCATATAAGAAGAAATGGCTAATCCATGATAATATCACAGACCAAAATAAAATCAGTTTCAGCGAAAATAGCAAATTTATTTTATGGCAAACACGTCTCATCCACTTAGTAAATTCGACCCTGTGACAATGTTCCCATTCTTTGCCTATGTGTTTTATACTTCTATTCCAAATCAACCGATACTTTAACTGAGACAATTGATATGAAAAAAAAAAAAAACTAACAGATGAATCCTCGATAAAATTACCTCAAACATTACAAGAGTAGGCTCTATCACACGCTCAGCTACTGAAGCATTAGCTGCTGTGGCTGCTGCAGTTTGATAATCTCTCAAAACTGCATTCTCTGAGTTTCTCGAGTCTTCCAACACTTCTTCTGCAGGCTCACGTAAAGAACAGTCAGCAACAACAAGACCATCAGAAGATAAATCCCCTTCCACTCGCCGCTTCTTTGCTCCAACATCAGATTGACCCCGAGAATGAGGTTCCTCAGCAACATGTTCATAACTAGTTTCCATCATGGTAACGCCATCTGTCAATTCCCGGTTAATATCTTGATGCATATGCTCCATTAGACTAGCCTCGCCAGGATCTGATAAACCCATATGGTTTACAAGATCATGTTCAATATAATTCATCCCACAAGACAATAGTGGAGAGTCCGGGGGCAGAGCAGGCTTTGCTGTCCATAAACCAGAACTGTCATCGCGAGTGTATATCCGAGGAGGGGCATACCATTCATGGCGATCAACGGTGACCAGGACAGACTGCAGCAAAAAGAAGTATTATGATGATTCTCCAACTTAAGAAAACAAATAAAAATAAAAACAAAACAAAAACATACAAATTTGCATATAATTATGGCACATACACAAGCATATTTATTGATATTCACAAACATGCATACATACATACATCTATTTATATATATATACACGAGTTCCAGCAAATGAACCGTCAATGAAAACTTAATTATTCAAATAGCTATTTTGATCCACAGGGGCAGGGAAAACATCTGTCAACATTAAAGAATAGGGTATCTTGAAACACTTTACATCATGGAGCAACTTTTGCCCACCTGACATATAACCTAAAAATAACAATTCAAACACCAAAACTCAGGAATCCCCTTCAAATTGGTGATGTTGCATGTCACTGTCCGTTATCAGAAACGAGTTAGCACTTGTACAATACTGTTAACTGCTCAAAGTTTGCCTTAACAGAAAAGTAGGACTTCACATGCCCACATAAAATAGTAAATCACAGCTCAAGAATTACATTCAATTAAAGAAGCTATTCTAAGTTTTCACAACAAAGAGGTAAAATGAGCCCAACATAGCTTTTGGATGCGTGTGGTTGTCAGGAAAGGGACTCAAGGAATCAGCATCCCATACCCAGGTATGGAATACCCAGGAAATATTGAGGAATCAAATATTCTTTCAAACATGGAAATGTTATATATCTTGAAAAGGATATTTCATCCCATTCTAACATTTGGCTTAGTCAGATATAGTGTAAAAACAAATCAATGAAAAAAATGAAAATCCAATAATCATAAAATAATTGTTTACCTAGGTTATTTGGTTGGACAAAATTAAAAAGATAGGAAAGGGACTCAAGGAATCAGCAGTCCATACCTAGACATGGAATACCCAGGAAATACTGAGGAATCAAATATTCTTTCAAATATGGAAATGTACAAGAATATATCTTGAAAAGGATATTTCATCCCATTCTAACATTTGGCTTAGTCAGATACAGTGTAAAAACAAATCAATGTAAGAATGGGGGAATTTTTTAACCATTTTGCCACTGATTCTTTCAACCAAACATGATCTTAGGGAATTAACATGCCTAATAAGGAAATATAAAGAGGTACCCCCACAAAGAAAAGAGAAGAGTTGTACAACCTTCAAGATCTAAAAAGCTAAACCATCTTGGTTACTCAAACATACTTGACCGTAAACAAGGTCAAAGGACATACCACATAGGCCACAAAGCAGCTAACTTTTAGGGATTAGCTGATAAAGAACAAAAGGATACATGGGCTCAAACCCTCACATTCAAATTGATACTTCTGCTTCAAATGAAAGGGCACAACTTGATGCCAATTGAAGACTTGGTATGCGCAAGTAGAGATGGTCCAAAAAAAGCTACTAGCTAAGAGAAATCAATTTGACAAAAAATCATCTAACAGGAGTAATTTTTATATAGATTTAACAAGTCAAAATGTAATTGACAATACCTTACTCCGATGACGATCCGTATGGCTTATGTATTCCAATGGCACTCGAGCACCCCTAGACAGCTTAGAAAGGACAGAGATTAGGTCTTCGAGTCGTGATATCTCCTCACCTGAAAACTTCTTTATAATGGCATGGCGAGGGACTCCAGCTCTAACAAGCATATATCTGCAATTGGCAAGCACAACTATCTGACTAAAAGATTATCACAAACATTTTGGTGAACTTTCTGGGTTTAGATATCAAATAGTGACAACAGTCTCCTTTCTTGCACCAAATACATGGATTAGGATAAAAAAAGTCACATAACCTTATATATAAATGCAACATCATTTAGGGAAAAAATAATAAATGCAGCATCCGACACGATATATAACCAAAAAAAAAAAAACAATAAGAAGAAAGTTCAAGAACCATTTAAATTTGCACGATAAGACAAGAATAGACTTACCCAGGTTCTGTAACATATACAAGACCACAGTGGAAACAAAAATTTCTGGCCTGCGTTAAAATAAAGAGGTGTAAGTTAAGACATTCACCATGATTAGCAGGTGTAGATTGTTCTAACAGCAGAAAAAATACAAATGAGAAAAAACAAAACTGATTATGGATAAGAATTCTTTTGAAAGAAAAGACTATAACTATAAAACTTTTCCCACAACAAATAAGAGAAGATGAAATTACAACTGTAAAATGAAATGCCTGAATACATTTAAGATAAAATTCTCAGACAACAGCAAAAGATTGTGCCATGAACCTAGATTTTAGCTTTTGATAACTATCAACTAACAGCACAAATGTCATAACAAAGACTTGAACCCTGCACCTCCCCTTTTTTTTTTGATAAGTAATAATGAAATAAAAAGGCGTTCAAGAGGGGATCGCGTCCCTTAAACAGAAGTGGAACCGGGGGGACTAAGGCCCCAAAGAATCCAAAAAAATAAATCATCGGAAGAGGAACAAGAGCTCCTCTTCACATGACTGAAGAGAGAATGAATAATTTGGAGTTTTAGCGTCGCCGTGGACGACTCCTTTCCTTTGAACATTCTATTATTCCTCTCCTTCCAGATGCACCACCAAACGCAATGTGGGACAATTCTCCAATAATCGCATACACCTCTACTCACACGAAATCCTCTCCAAGCTTGCATCAAATTCTTAGAAGAACATGGCATTACCCAACGCACACCAAACAACCCAAGAATAAGATTCCAGCAATCATATGCCACAGGACAATGCATGAGGATATGGTCAACTGACTCACCATTTTGCTTGCATAGACAACACCAATTAACAAAACAGTTACCCCGCTTCCTCAAATTATAAATCGTCAGTATCTTACCCCATACAACAGTTCAAACAAAGAATGCCACCCCATAAACCCTGCACCTCCCCTTTAAGGATAGCAGGAGATTCCGCTCAAGCTAATAGCCAGCAGTAATTATTACTATTGTAAATAATAACTGTAATTGCCATAATAGGAAGTATACAGATATATATACACATTTTTTTCTTGATGTTCAGTCCTTCTATAGGTGTCTTACAGAGGAGGCTGGGGCTGCTTTCCTGTGGAAGGCTGTTCGGCGATCTAGGGCTCCCCTTAAGGTGGCCTTCTTTGCTTGGACTTCTGTTTTAGGGAAGATTTTGACTCAGGATAATTTGAGAAGGAATCAGGTTGTGGTCAACTGTTGTTGCATGTGTCTTCGTGATGAGGAGACGGTGGATCACCTCCTTTTGCATTGCACCATAGCTAGAGATTGTTGGGATTTTATGCTTGGTTTGTTTGGAGTTATGTGGGTCATGCCCAAATCCTCCAGAGGGTTGATTGAGGCTTGGAGAGGTTGTATAGTGCAGGCCCAAGTCCGGTATGTTTGGAGGGTTACGCCTTTGTGTGTTTGGTGGTGTATTTGGCTCGAGAGGAACAAGAGATCTTTCAAAGGAAAGGAGAATCCTATTTCTATGCTTATGTTCTCAATTATTTCTACTCTTTCTTGTTCAGTTGTAGGGATCTGTTATAGATCTTTAGAGGAGATGGTCGATTTTTTGGGTTCCTTGAATGTCTAGAGGCCCTATTTGGCCTTGTGTAGTTCTCTTGGGATGTGGGGCCTTGTGTAGTTCTCTTGGGATGTGGTCCCCTTTTGAGTGCTTTTATACATTTTTACTTATCAAAAAAAAAATGTTAGAGAAAGCATCCAGGGGTGCACACCCTATTGCATGTGGTGTGTAGAGAGAGGTACGGGGACTAAGCTCATTCAGGAAGATATCCTACAAAATAATATACTGCTTCTGGAAAATTCATGATAACCAGACTGAAGAGAGTTCAGCATCAACTGCTTCAATATTAAACAATGGAAACTCCATTATTTCAAAGTTAAGCATATTCCTCCTGGTCCAGATGCACCATATAAGGCATAAGGCGCAGCCTTCTACACATTTTTAGCCCAACGGCTCCGACTAAAATCTAACGACTCAAGTTAGGGCAAGCATAGCAACACCATGAGAAGGCATTATACATTCATGTAGCATGTAAAAGTTACCATATGGGACAAGGGATGCTAGATGAGTAGTTTCTAATATAATAAGCTCCAAATTTGATTCATCACACTTCCTTGGCATGATCACAGATAGGATTCCAAGAACAGCCACTTTTCACAAAATAATGCAAAGATTAGGGCTATATCCAATCAACCCAACAATCACCATAGGCTAGACAAAACTAGATAATGGCCTTTTAGACATGCAGGCCCCTAAAGCTTGCAAAACTTCCTCAGCACTAGATACCTGCATTTCCTCTTACTGTAGCACCATGGGTGCCAAAAACCAAAAACATTTCAAAGCTCTTACAAGTCATTTACATAGGTCTTAGTCCATTCTGGCCCAAACCATTTTTTTCATTTTGGAACTTCTGCAAAAAGATGAATTCTATTAGCAAGTGGCATCCCATCTTAGTTTTGAGTAGGAATACCACCATTTTTTTTTTCTTAGATCCTCTATATTTTGTTCTGTGTTTACCAGCCAAATAATCCTCCACGTGCTCAAAATTTATTAACCAACCAATTCGACATAACAAAGAGAAGGTTCCTTGATATATAACTTAGTAGGGAAATGCCAACTTAGAACTAAGAACTACAAGCATAAATGCTCCCACTTGACAAGATCTTTGGAAGTGGAAGGCTAAAATAGAAATGGAAGCTAATTTTTCTTCAAACCAAGACTAAAGATTGAGATTTTCTAAAAGCTGATGACCAAAGGATAATTAAATATGAAGATTCTCAACGACCAGAACTGAGGAGCACGACAACTGCTTATCTATTGGTAGATAAGATACACAGACCCAACTCACACATTTATAATTGTCCCCATGGGGGATAAATCCTCAACCTTCCATATGGTAGGAAAAGGATTGTTACTTTAGCTAATGCTCGGTAAGTATTTTGAATCTTCGGAGGACAAAACAATATTTATTTAATTAAGGAAGAGAAATATAAATAAATGAATTTATGAGATGTTGCCAAGTGACAGTTTATGTAGACAGTATGAAAAAAATCCGCAAAAATTCTTCAATGACATGCAATGGCGCCCATGCCAATAAGAACTGATATAAATAATGTGCGAGATAAGAAAGAAGAGAGATAAATTAAGATAAAAATAAAAACAGAAATCTTATCCGGCATGTAACAAAAAAAAAAAAAAAAAAAAAGCAATATATATATATGTATGTATTTATTTATACACAAATAAAGACCAAAGGGACAATATTAAATTGAATTGAGTTGCTGTTTGATCAGTTTATTAAATGTTATATGTACTAACCCCAAGGGATAACCTTGGATTGAAATCCAAGGTATGACCCCATTGAAAGCCCAGGGAATTCTTCCCAATACAGAAAATAAAAAGGATTGAAAGTCCAAGGGGGTACGATCCCAACAAAGATAGGATGAAATGTCAGTAAATGTGAACGAAGCAGCAGGCATACCAGAAATGGATTGTGAGGAATGGTAGATAGAGCAATGATGCATATAGGCTTAAAACACAACAAAAGTGGGACACACTGAGGTTGAGCTTTCCTGTACTACTCATTGGAGCTAGCATACGAAATTTTCCGTTGAAGGCTTCAACTATCAGGGTGGCCATTGCGAGCAATATTCACTTTCAAAAGTCACGAGCCTACGACTATCCCACTACTCTCAAAGAGCTCATCAAAGAGCTAAGGGATTATAAAAGGAGGAGGTGGAATTTCTGTCAACTGTAACATTTATAACAACACTTAATATATATATATATATACACAACATGCCTATATAGCAGGCTACTTCCCTGGAGCAAAGGTCAAGTTCATGCAAAACGCATATAATTATTTACACAATAATACAGCTCCTTCGGTTACAGTTTTTAAGATTTTAGGTATTAGGACATGGATGAATTAACTACATGCTAAATCAAATAATAATACATGTCCCATGACAAGGGCATTCAAAGAGAACTAAAAATGTGTTCCTTGCCAAAACTCTTTACCGAGCCAGTTAGGCAAGCCTCCAATGGAAAAGGTAATAAAATTCATATCCCACACTCACGTACTTCTAGCATTGCTACTTTACATGTTTTATAGCATCCATGAAACATAGCCAAACACAAGTTGCACAATAAAACATACTCAGCTGAAGCTTTTATTAACATAAGTAACCTTCACCATATAATTCATCATACTGGGCAAAAGTAGCAACATATCCAACCAACCTGTTGATATGAAAGTGGATGTATCACAGCACCACTTACTTCCAAAAAGTGGTCAGGAGTAATTGAATGTAAATCTTGAACCTGAAGCAGCATTGGGAAAAAAGGTTAAATTTGCAACATCATAACAAGCTAAAAGCAAAAAAAGGCACAAAATAGATGCTTAGAAGGACCTTCACTAAGTGTGATGATTTCCACATCAAGAGTGGAGACTTAACTTTAAACACATGATGTCATAATATACACACACAAACACACACACATATTGGTCCTCCATATATCTCATCTAGACTAAATCATCTGTACTTCCACCAAAAACAAACACCAAGATACATGTAGGATTGATAATGAGAAGCATAGAGAACACATGAATATTCTAAGGTACCAACTAATTATTTTAAAAAAAAAAGGTTTATTCTATAAAGCATCGTAGCAAGCATGAAAAAGAATGTGGAGACATTGTGGTACTATGTGAAAAAATTCAGCAAGAAAATACCATTCTATAACAAAAGCATAGAATATTGAAAAAGATTCCTCCCTTATAATCAAGTAGAATGTGATTTAGTCATAACTGAAACATATACAAGATCTAAAATTTAAAAATACAAGATACTGACATCCAAATCGTACAATACCCTTGATGCCATTTAATATGGGGCATATCCAATATAAGCTCATAAAGTCCACAGAAAAAGGCCAACTCAATAACTCCTAACTTTTAAACCACATGCAATTTTATTACATAACCCCATAAAGTTATAATGTGTGTACCAACACCTAAATAGAGGTCTCCCATAAAGAAGATGAAGACATCAACTAGTAGTGAAGTTAACATAAAACTCACCACCAAGTCCACAGTCAATGGAGTCCCACCCCTTTCAATCTGTAGTTCAATCTTCTGTCCCACACCGTCATCAAGTAAAGTCTCCAATTTCAGGAACTGAGTAATTACCTGCACTAGGATATTATATATTAAAGACAACACATGCAGGTAATGTCTGAATACTTCACCATGAAAATTACTATTGAAATTTCATCATCCAAAAATCAGCATGAATTGATTACTTGAGACAAACGCCCATTAAAAAGTTTAATCAGGGACATAATTTTGCAACATAAGTGAATCCATTCCACATTTATTTCAATTCCTAATGTCCACAAATTAATATCACTTCTTTTTTATCCTAGTTGGTACTCACACACACTTGTCTCTTCTGAGACTTGAACCCCTGACCTCCCTTTAATATCACTTCTTAATGTCAAGGTTCACTATAATTTAGAAGTTTGAACCAAATATTTCATTTCTAGATTAAACTTTCTCTCAACATCCATAAAATAAGTCCAAGAAGGCAATTTTCAAAAGCATGCACAAATAAAATTTTAATATTAATTTCTAAACATGTCATATTAGAGTCTGCTAGGAACCTGTCAAAACAGTGATTAAAATTAAATGCTTTATGTAATGAATGCGACAAAATCCCGATGCATAATTTTACATTTGAAATTAATCTAATTCAACATCAAGTCTGATACTACGTATGCAAACAGCCAGTGATCATTTAAATGAGCTCGCAAACCAATGATTGAAGCAAGAAGGCAATGAGCATATTGGAAAGGAGAAAAGAGAACTATCTGTTTAACATATTTTATTAGAAAAACAATTACAAATGAAACACGAAAAATAAATAAAAAAGAAGGGTTATACGACCACAATAAAAAACATCTGACAATAACTCAGGAAGTAAACACAACCCGTCAATCAAAGTTATATCATGGGATGGAACTGAAAGAAAACTTACGTCCCCATTCATGCGAACAAGCACATCACCTGGCTCCAAAAGATTGTGGGATGGCCCACCTGGCACCTGCAATAGGCCCCACATGATAGCCAATGTTAATGTATAAGATAAATAATATAAAATAATTTTCAAAACTTTAAAGAAAGTATACGCACCACAGAATCAACAACAAGCATTCCAGTTTCACCAAGCGGGGATGCATGTCGCACCAACTAATACAGTCAAAAACGAAATAAGTTGTCGCAAAATCCTGAATGATTAAATCAATAAACCATGGAAAAAAAAAAATGCGGTCTTTCACAAAGAATTAAACACCTGTTCTGTATCACTCCGGAGACCAAGCCGACGAGTCTCATCAAATCCTTTGTGAAGAAATGTCACCTATATCATGAATAACTAAATCCAAATCATAAAACAATAAATTCTGATTCCCACAGCGATGCATATTAGAAACAAATATACAGCACTCTAATCCTTTTTTGTTTTCTTTTTTTTTTTTTTTGACAAAGAAGAAATAAGTAAATTTATTGTTTTCTCTTGTATACTTGAAAGCACAGACACACCTAAAAGGGCAAAGAATGCTTGTCGGACACGTCAAAAGACGTATCTGAATTTTTTTCTATTTTTTTTTAATATTCGGACACGCCATGGATATGTGTCCCATTCTTGGGGATTTTTTTTTTTTTTTGAAGGCATTCTGGGGGATTCTTAAAAAGTTTTAGAAAGAAAGTTGGGTTGAAGTGTAAATATAAGGAGTTGTTTAATAACTTTCAGTAATATGATGGTCATTACATAATTACTTAAAAGGAGTTTTATATAAGACAATTTTATATTAAAACAATCGTATATTTATGCTTATGTTTTAGTTCAAAGGTTCAAACTCTTGCAAGATCATCTTCATCTCTCTCTTGTTCAGCCACCGACGAAGCTTTGCTGCCGGTGGATGGTCTCTCTCTCCTCTTTCTCCTCTTTTCTCTCTTCTTCTTTGTCCTCCTCTATTCTTTCTTTTTCTTCTTCTTTATAAGTCCAAGATACTTCTTTTTTCCCTTTCACAACAAAATTCTTTTGCACCTCTTTTTTTCCTTTTTCCTCTTGTTTCCATGAACTTCTTCTCTTCTATGGATTTTTACCTTTATTTTTAACTTAGCCCTAATTCTTTTTCCTAACAAAACCCTAACCCACTTTGTTTATTTGTTGTTGTTGTTTTTTTTTTTTTTTTCCTCTCCTCTCTTTCTATCATTCCTTTTTCCCCCTAGCAAAACACAATTTTTTTCATTATTAGGTTGATACAAAATAATACTACTCTTAATTTCTTAAAGTACAACATCGCGTGTATATAATTATTATTATTTTTTTCATAAGTAATATATATGTGTGTATATATATAATTATTATTCGTCGTGTCCCCTATATATATAATTATTATTCGTTGTGTCCCCACCATGTCAGTGCCCTTATTTTTTAGGATTTGCCCTGTCACTGTGTTCGTGTCCCGTATCCGTTTCTGTGCTTCTTAGCTTGTATAGTATTGTGTCCATAGAACAAACTTGAGGTGATGGGTACGTCAATTCCCAAAACAAGGAGGCTTATTCCCAAATCAATTCCAAGAAACATACAAAAGCCACCACTTTTGAATCATATATCAGGCATATCAAAAGAAGCTTTAAAGATTTGGTTCATCATCCACCAAAAATATGTTGAATTCTCTGATAATGCAATTTTTACAGAAAGTAAGTAAATGGGAACATCAGTCAAGACTCAAAGTGAATCCCTACAAGGACAATAATAAATACCTGAAGAGTACCACGAGGAATAGCAATGGCCTCCCACTTATCTTGATATGAATCTCTTCCCTTCTGCAAGAATTTTAATGCCCTTACAACCTGCAAGTTGTATAATGACAAGGTTTAGAGCTCAAAAACTATGAAATTTTGTTGTGATGCCAGTGCTCAGATGAATTTTAAGGCTTCAAATATCTAACATACAAAGCAGATTATATAGATAATCCCAACACATTTAGACTGATTTTCGCTTTTCCAACTTTGAAATTTGGGCAATTCTTCGGACAGAATGTATGCCATAGGTATACAGTAGAACTGAGTTGCATCCCCAATAGCTCAGAAAGAGAGCTGAGATAATCTTTGATAGCACTGGAAGCACGGCATAGAAGTTGCAGCAAATAATAATAAAAAATAAAAAGAAACTTGCCCGTTCTAAAGGTAAGAAAAAGGCCGAAGCACTAGATGACTTGCTCCCAGCATTCAAGGCAACTGCCCTGCCTTGCCAATCGATTACTGGGGAACCACTCGAACCTCCTTTAGTTCCAGATGCAGCCTGTAAGTAGGAAGAAGGAATAAAAATACTTGGCTTGAGAAAAAAAAAAAATCTAAACCGGCATTTATAGGTTGCAAGGATACATGAAAATGCAGTTAACAGAAAATTCAAGAAGGATTTAACAGAACTATCATAAAAATTAGCAGCTTTTTGACACTTAATTGAGCATCTTCAGTTTCTATAACCTTGTATACCGAACCAAAAGAGAAGATCTGGAAAAGCACAGATTCTTATGCCCCCTTGAATGCATATGTCAAGGGAATTACAGACATATGGCCACCACTACTTCTACAAAGGGAACAACCACCTCCACTGTTTTAAGAGGGCTCTGTAAATCAGATTGATTGTTTAAGTGATATATGTTTCAACTGATGTTTCTGTATTTACCTTTATGATATTATTATCCAGATAGGGATGGTTAAAAGGCAATTTTCAACTCAAGTTTGCAAAGATTAACTTCCAATTTATTTACAATTTGGTTCATTTCAGTATTCATGACCTTCAGCTCCAATTAATTTTTTAAGAGCGTTAGTACATGCCTCATCACATATAATCATATCGCAAGCATATTAAATGAGCTATTGCTTAACACGTTTAATTGTAAGAAAAGCATTATGGCGTGTAATTATATTAGAGAAAACCCACAACATCCCAAATCCACATCTCATTGACAACATTTTCAATTACACCCTCCGTCAAACGACAAGGATATGGATCCGAGGACCTGGAGAATATTCAAAGGAATGATTTCAATGGCACTATTATACTTTTCTCTACATTATTTCTTCATATTGTAGTTTTTTGGATAAAGCGTTATTCTCATGTCCCTTAGACTTGCAGGTATTTCTTTCCATTTTACCTTTCATAAACAAAATTGCCTCCCTTTTCGCTCTCATATTTCCCCTTCTTATCCAACTAATAATCATTCAAAAAGAAGACATTGTCTATATGCACAGTGAGAACTAAAATAAATTAAATAAATAAACTAGTAAAACCAAGCTTTCAACAGTAAAAATACAAAAAGAAACTACATGGTGACCAACAATCATATTATCAATGGAGATCAAACTAATGAGACCAACCCAGATTTTTTTTAGCAACTTTAGTGATCAAAACAACTCAAACAAAGGTTATATACTCAGTAATTTTTTAGTTCAATAAATAGCACTTTAATATTACAATCTTACTTGCATGTAGAATGTATTGAAGTCATTGTAGCCATCCCTGCACCACATATTGAAAGAACTGTTAACATTTAAATAAATAGTAATAAAGGCTTGCAATCTGGTTTGTTCAAGAAAGAGAGGCAAAAAGATACTAAACATCAAAAGAAAAAATATATAGAACCAAGATGGTTAAAAACTAAATCCACTACGTTAAATTTTAGGACAGCAAAGATAATAGAATATCAAAAAAAGAGTCACTGCTCCCAATTATCAACTGCAGAGAAATTGTGTGTAACTATAAGTGCATTTATGCATAGATGGACGGTTGCAGTAGTTTGAAAGGTAACATCAATGATGTCTTAAGATGCAGCAAAAAAAAATTGAGTTGAGTGAATCCAAGTGGAACACATTCCTCCACAGGCTTCGTAGTTACAAAAGGTTTTATATATCCTATATAAAACCTTGGATGACATAGTGCTATTGGATAGCGCTAAGGAAGCAGTAGCAATAAAATTAGAGGCTTGGAGAACGGCACTAGAGTCGAGAGGTTTAAAATTAGTAGAACTAAAATGAAATACATGGAATGTAAATTTAGTGCCATAGGAAATGATGATATAGTAATAAAAATTCAACACCAAAGCATTACTCAAAGTAATTATTTCCGATACTTCGATCAATTGTCAAAATGATAGAGAGATTGATGATGATGTAAATAGCAGAATTGGAATAGGTTGGACAAAGTGGAGGACCGCTAGTTGGGCTTTATGTGATAAACGAATACCAAATAATTGAAAAGGAAAAGTATATAGAACAGCCATTAGACATTTAGACCGGCTATTTTATATGGAGCGGGCTGTTGGGCGTTAAAAAGCAACACATTCATGTGGTGGAAATACGGATGTTAAGATGGATGTTAGGAATAACTAGGAGAGATGAAATTAATAGTCAAAGGATTGGGAAAAAAATTAGGTGTGGCACCTATTAGCTATAAAATAAGAGGGAGTAGACTTAGGTGGTATGGGGATATTCAACGCCGACCTATAGATGCACCACCGTGAGGAGAGGAAGAGTGATTAACATAGAAGGTAAGAGACAAAGAGGTCAACCAAAACTAACATGGAATGAACAGATAAGAAACGATTTTAAGAAATTAAATCTAGTAGGAGATATGGCTTATGATAAAAAAGAGTGGAGAAAGAGGACCCATGTGGCAAACCCTGTTTGTACAGGAGATAGGCAAGGATGATGATGATGATCATTAGGCACTGCATGGTCCACGTAAAAAAATAAAATAAAATAAAAAAAAATAAAAACTTACTGCAAAACCCAGACTGCAGAATAGTAGAGGCTCAGTAAAAGGCCAGTGCTGCAGAGAGAAGTAGAGAATATGCAATGGTAATAAAGCACTTCATATAAAAGAGTGGAAATGGCAGAGGTGAAGCTATGAGCCTAAGACAGAGTGCTTAGTTTCAAAGCAGCAAAAGATTGAGGCCCAAGATCCAAATTTGACCTAAATGTCATTGATCAGAGACAATAACTACTTTGTGTGAGCAACAGTATCTCTTCTGATGGATGGTACTAAACAAGATCTTTGGATGAAGACAGAAGGGCCATAACATAAATGATCAGTTTTAAGAACTACAAGTTGCATGGTACCGAAACTAAAATAAAACTAGTAAAAAGAATATTGTATATAGAAGTGTCGAAAGAACTCAATCAAAATGAGCCAAATTCTTTTTTTTTTCTTTTCTTTTTTGTTTTTTGTTTTTTTGTTTTTATAAGTAAACCCAACATCAAGGAATTACAACATGATAAAACAGTAACAAGTAGGCAGTATCATAGAGACACAAAATGAAATTTTGATTTATAAGCAAGAAGTCAATATATATATACAAACGCGTATATGCATTTATATATGTATGTATTAACATACTTTTTATAATGAGGAGCATCTCTATCCAAACGAGCAAGGGTACCAGCCAAAATAGACACCTGTAATTTCAAGTAAAAATCAAAGAGAGAACATTTTACCATTAGAAAAGCCAAATCATACTACATTAGATTGAATTCCTGTAATATTATATGGTTCAAACAACGGAAAAAGAACCTAAGAGAATAACCATACAACTTTAGTAGATAGGAGTGAGAACAGTAATTTAACAAAAAAAAATAGCAGAGAAATTAGTAAATACATAAAATAATTAAATAAAATCATATTCTACCAGTAAATTAGTTTTTGTTAGTTATTTAAGTTTTATGCCAATTCAAATCGAGATCTTGAAGCAGGAGAATTTCCATCTACCAAAGTTTGACAAATAATTGCAATCATCCATTACCGGTATCAATGTCAAACCAAGCACGTAAGTTAGGTTATTGCAGATTTAAACACAAGTGCGGCCTTGAACTCATCGCTTTGGGTAAGCAACACCAATGTATGTATAGAGATACACAAATTGGATTCTAACATAATATTGTTTCGCTTTGTTGACGGTCACTTTTTATAGGATTTTCACTCCATTGATCCATCTAATTTGACAAAGTTGCAATCTGCTAATTCACTTTAAAATAGGTGGAAATTAGAAAGAAAAAAAAAAACACAAATACCAATTATACAACTATCCTCCCTTTGACAGTCATTTTTTATAGGATCTTTCACTCCATTGATTCAAAGAGTCTAACTTGACAAAGTTAAAATCTGCCAATTTAATTTAAAATGGGCAAAAAAATTAAATAAAAATAAAAATAGATATACAAATTACACAACTACCCTCCCTTTGATGTAGGAAAGATCATAAATTAATAGTTTCAGATATTAGGCACAATAACTGAAGAAGTAAAACTTCTATTGAGAAGCAAAAGATATCCTCTCTCTTTAGTAAGAAATTTTTTTTTTTGATAAGTCTCTCTTTAGTAAGAAATAATGGAAGATTAAACCTTCATTATGTAAACCTTCATTATCTTAAATATCATCGAATGATTCATACTAATTGAGCTGCCTAAAATAGTCATTCAGATAAATAAATATACCACAGAGTTCATATACAGTCTAAGCCTTTCAAACTCCTGCAGAATATTAGCATCAACTAAAAGGGAAATGAAAGGATTTTGTGACATTCAATTAACAATATATAACATCTTCAAAAAGGGAAGATTTCTCCAGAGTCCACAGTGATAATATACCTTTTCATTTTTCAATTTTTTTTTTTTCTTAGGCCCCTACTGAACTTTCAATAGATATGATTTTACGCTCTTGAATAGACAAATAATGCATATTAGTCATCTATATTCTCTACTAAAATGTTATAGATTGATATTCATAAGGAAAATTTGATTAACAGCAAATATTTGAACAATATCCAAATACTGATTACAATATTCCCCTCCTGGGTGGACATAAAAGGATGTATTTCAGTAATACAGGATAATAGCCTGAAATAAAATGAAGCAGCAAATGTGATAGATATACCTTCTCCCCACTATCATTGCCAACAACCCTGATCTCAAGTCCAACACAAGCAGCCTCAGGAGCAAGAGGAATCTCCTCGTAGCTCAGAAATTGAATGGCACTGGGGTCATAGCGAAAGAAACCAAAATCGTGAACCTATAAAATTTGCATGTACTGTCAGTTCATTCTGGTATACAAATAAAAAGACAAATGGACTTAGCAATACCTGTGTATTCATGTATGTATATTTAAATACACGTCAATGCACGCCCCATAGAGGCTACAGAAACAGGACACAACATGTAACAAAATCCTCTATAAATGGCAATGGTGTTGAAAACTCGCAAAACTACTTAAAGAAATAGAATTAGAAAATGAAGAGGGAGAGAGGGAAGGAAAGAGAGAGCAAGAGTATATACAGTAATTTGCTGAATGTTTGCATCATTGAACTAAACCAAGTCCACTGACCAAAACAGACAGAATTGAGAAATTGCAAATATATATATAGAAAAGAAAGCTTGTAAAAGGATAAAGCAAATTTCCCTATCCCAACACTCTCCACCAATACACAGCAGTTACATGGCATTCATGGTAGTTCAAAAGAAATTTGAATGCATCATTACATAATAGAGATAGTATGCTAGCATAAACAACAAAGCCAAAATAACAACTTAAAAGAGAGAATTAACTCGCTGATTCTATCGTTAGCGAAGAGAACCCAAAAGTGGAAACAATAAAAAATCAAAAACAACATGATAAGTCATTACTAACTACATTATGGAGAGAGAGAAAATATATTGAAATAAATAAATAAATAAAACCATATTTAATGAATCTAAGTGCCATAGGTTTTTTCCAACTACCTCTACAGATAAGAGAGTAGAAACTCTCTAGTTTCGGTAAGATTGGAGATGTTCTATAATTTATATCTTTAGCTCATATATGATTTGGTATCAACACCTTCAAAATAAGTGCCAATGTATCACATCCAATTTATCACGGTTTCTTATACAATTTTTTCAGTCACTTACGAATCTGATGTCCCCTTCGAACCAAAATGAGAGTAACAACTAACCACACCAGGATGATAAAGAAACAAAACCAATGATCAGCGTATTAACTGTACAAAAGTAAAAGAAAACAAGAAATCCAAAATAATCCACTCACCGGGTCTCTGTATATAGGATATACAGGAACTTCTTCGCGGTTTACAAACATAGCTTCTGCAACTACAGGCCCTATAAAGAATAAACAGAACATCAAAGTAATTAGAATTCAAAAGAAAAAGAAAATAAAAGATCCAATTGCTACACTAGGTATATATAACTCTTTATTTGGATTCTGCAATAATTGAGGGAAATTAAATGTGTTACATTCCCTTGGATACCAGAAAATGATTTTAAGTACAAAAGTTGATTAAAAGAGAATCCTGTTCGGAAACAGAACATACTAGAGAATTAAAATGATATTTTCGAACCCTTTATAGCCAGCCAAAAAAACCATTAACAAGAAATGCAAAGATTAAAAAATTAAAGTACCAGCTTTCACCACGTGACGATTAGTGAGTATAATTCCGCGCTGCTTATCGACAATAAAACCGGTGGCGTAGCTGGCACCGGCGGATTCGGTGTCAAAAGCTCGACAAGCGGTGGTCCGAAGCACGACCACCGCTGGAACGACGTTGTTGAGTGCCTTTCTCCAATCTTCGGCGGTCGCAAGATTTTCTTTGAACGGCGGATCAATCTCCATAGAAAGTTCCTCCTTTATGCTCGACTCCAGCGTCGCCGCACTCTCCGATCCCAACCTCTCCAATTGATCACCCATTCTCTAACTTTCTCTCTCTAAATCACTCTCCAGAACCCTAATTTTCAGTGTGTTAAATAAAGTTTAAAATATCTTGATTTGGATTGCCTTTATTTGAGATTAGGGTTTTAGGACATAGATGCAGAGATACACGCGATCTTAGTATCGGAATCTGAAGACAGCTAGCGAATATTCCGGCGACTGGATGAGTGGTTTTCTTTCTTTCTCTCTCTTGATGGGGTTTGGGGTTTTCCGAGGAATCTATGGGATTGATTGAGGTGAAAGTAAAAGGAAGTTGTTTCCGTCAAAAAGGTCCGCAAATGCGTGCGTGTGAGTGTTCACGTTTTTAAGTCTGGAGGCAAGTACGGTTAAATTATATGGTCGGTTCCAGATTTTCAATAATGCAAGTTGTAACAGATTGGCTATTGCTCGTTTATTCAAAGGTCCGATCACTGTGCCTTTAAGAGGTGAAGACCCATACGCCTTTTCGGTCGAGTATTTATTATGACACCGAATAAAAAATTAAATTTGATTTATGAATTATAATGAATGAACACTTATTTATTTATTTATAAACTCAAATTATTATTTAATATTACATATCTTTCCATTTATACTTATATTATTTTTCATCCATATTCAATATGAAACATGTCTTCCCGGTAACACAAGTTCATTTTCTTGCAATTTGCAAATCCCTCCTAATAAATTGAGAGAGTTTTCAATATATATTACTACGTAATTCACTCAATTTATATATTGACTCTTTCAGTCCCAATTTTATTTTACTTTTTTAGAATAATTTTTTATTTCGTTTTTTACGAAAATTATTGTTACAAAGTACGTATATTTTACTTCTCAAAATATTTCCAACAATTTTACTCCAACCAACCCTGTGTAATTTTGTGACGAATGGAGCATCATTTGTTAATACTTTGCAAAATCATGATATTATATGTAGATGACTCAATTTATATATTTATATATATTTAAAAAGTTATACTACTATAGTGTTTTTCAATTCAAATGATTATGGTCACAAATTTATACAGAATGTGAGGGGTTTGAATTCCCCTCCAACTAAATGATTTTTGAGTTTAGTGTTTGCAGTTATATATTTTAATATTTTATTTTTTTAATTAATAAAATTTGGAATAATCCGTAAAGGAAATAAAAAGCAATGAGTTTGACTTATCGCGAACTATTAAAATCTTAAGTTTCGGGCTAATCCATGAGAGCCAAAGTCCCACCCACATATATATATATATATATACTCTTCTATATATTTTTTTAATACCTTCAACTTAACTTCAAGAGTTACAAAAATACTACATAAATTCCATCAGCCATATATAATTATGCTTAAAAATTTTATACAAGCAAAAACTAGATAAATAAGATAATCTTAAATAACTTTTCGAATTTAATTAATCACCATCAAATGAAAATTTTAAGAACTACAAATACAAATATCGAATGGAATATTTGAAAATTCATTCAAAATTTATCGATTAGAGTTTATAATTATGTAAAAAAAAAAAAAAAAAATTATATACCTGTTAAGAATCGTAATGTTGCAAAAAGTTTTTTCATGCTTTTGTTGTATTGCATTTGCAATTAATTAATGTTCATATACAATATATGAATTTTTTAGAAGTATCAATTTGTCTTACAGATTTTGGGTTTTGTCTTCGAGAGAAAATAAAAATAAAATAAAAATTTTTTTTTTTGAAGAACAGATGCTCATCATTGAGTGAGAGCTGATGGACATCAGATGGAATTGGGGCCCATTATTTGGGCCGTAAACAACACTTCGAACTGGCGGGCTGATCAATAACGTGTATCCTTGTCCAAAAATGATCCATATTAAGCAAACCAAATGGGCCCTGGGGGGTACCACTTGTTCACGAAGAAAAAATTATCTATATAGAGTCAATAGACCCACATCATACGAACGTTTCGTCCACTAATTCTAAAAAGGAAAACTCGCCAATGTAAAATTTTATTACATTTTCTTTCTTTTTTTTATTTTTTTTTTCTCTTTTGCATGTGAAGATGCAAGAAAATTGGTTCTCTATATTAGGAAAGAGTTTCCTTACACTTCAACCACCGCTTTTCCATTCAATCTCCCCTTCTATTTATAGGAGTTTACATTTGCCCTAAAATACCTTTCTGGCTCTTGATTTTGAGCCTTTCTCTGGATTGGTTCCTCTTTTCGGGCCACGATGGGTGTGAAGCCTGCATGGGGTACGGGTCAAGTTGGACCTGGCAATGGCTGTTATTGGATGGGCTGAACCGATAGTATTCCTGGGCCTTCGGGTGGGTTGACTTAGGACCAAGAAAAATCCTTGGGCCTTGTTGATCTGGCCCGCAATTACACTTAAGGTGTTCTGCTGTTACTATTATTTAGAATAAACTATACAATGTAATATGATACCCTAACATGTAAAAAATATTTGCTAAAATTGTTATTTTCATTTGATTCTTCATTGATTTTGCTCATGTTTTTATGCAATTATGGTACAATTTTTGTTCTATGAGTTGTTAAAGTTTATTTATACTTGGGGAGCTTTTATGAGTTCAAGATGTTTGTGTTCTGGCAGGCTACACTTGTTATGTACTCCGTCATTCAATCCAGACAAAAAGAAAAAATATATATTTAGGTTGTGTTCAGTTACATGGAACTGAAACTGATGTATTAGAGAAAAATAACTCATAAAATTGAACCAAAATTTTCTCCAATTCTAACTTCAAGACTCTAATTCCATAAAACCGTACACAACCTAAAGAATTCATGTGTGTATATTTTAGTTTTAAGCACCCAAGTGAAATTATTATTATTATTTTGTTATTATTTTTTATTATTATCAATCAGACTAGTTAAATGTGTATATTTTGATCTTGTTGCACAATTATTCTTTCCTCAAATCAATGATATTATACCATTACCCCAAACAATAGGGCACTTTTTTTTTTAGAGCACTTACCTATGAATTTGAATCTTGGGGAGAAGGGTGCAGATCACCCCATAAGGATTTTGAATGCCGCAGGCATAAAGGGGTTCCACCCCCGATGGGATGACCTTTACCTTCCTAATGCACGGAAGAGGCTCCAAGTTCGCTATGCACAATATAGAATATGACATTGTAATTTGTATAAATTTCATTAGGACTATATTATGTTAGTTCTTGATAATTTCACTATATGAAAAGTTGTCCTCCGACTTTGAATAAGTTTTTCATGAAGTGTGTTGCTGTAACACCCCCACATTTTCCACGCATAAGTTGATCAGGCTTATACACGAAAAACGAGGGATATCAAAAACAATTGGCAACATACAAGCATGGAATACAAAATGATAATAATAAAAGAATTTAGACAGGAAAGGAACACTAAATAATACAACATCCATCCATCCTTTACTTAATACAGTACTCCATTACAACTTGGAAATCCTATGTCAAGGATCCCTAAATATAAACCTGAGAGTTCAACGTCAAAAGTAAATAAAAATTGAAACTGAAGTAATACATAAAACTTCTACCCTGCACTGGATCGTAAGAGTAGATGAGTTCGGATGGTGGTCCCACACTGCTAACCTCAACCTTGGAACGGGTACTGACCGTATCCTGAAATAACAACAATGGTGGGTCAACCCCACGAGCAAGTCCTCTCTACTGTGACCCAAATCAGAGAATCAAATAAATTAATCATTATGAATTGGATGAGTACTATATCTGTATACATCCTAAGGGAACTACCCAATGTATAATATGACCTCAACCAGAATAGACGGTGATCACTTAAACTCACACTAGGTGGTTAAGTGTCGTCTTTCCCTACCCGGGAAATCAGCTATTATACATGGTGCACGGTACTGACAACACAGACTATAACGAACTACACAGTGATAACACCTCTCAAAGTACTGATGAATATACTGAGCATATAAATTAGGCAACACATGCCAATAATATTACTAAATATACTGAGTACATCAATTAGGCAACACATGCCAATAATATTAAACCACATACCCCGACAGCCACACATCTGTCTATCGCAACGAATGCATAAGGTATAAATGAGTCTAAACTTATTAGCCAGCTCACATGGTTCTATATGGCAACACATCCATATAATATAAATGCGACATAATTAAACAGTCCATTTATTTCCTGAAATACACACAGCATAATAATCATGGTTTATATATCATTTAACAGTATAAACATCCTATAAGATATCATGAATAATTTATATGACTAAAACCATGGCATTATTTAATTTAACAGTAATGTTTGATACCATTTAATAAGATAATAACACTATTTATATTTAACAATGTCGTTAAATAAATCACATTCATATCCGTACTGTAAACGAGCCAATTGAAGATGCAAGAAATTCATACTCTCTTTCTCTCTCTAGAATTCTTACATTTCAACAAAAAGATCTCCCTCATTCTTTCCATTCCTTTTCCTATTTATAGATATTTACAAGATATTTACAAATATTGACGGATTGCTGGATCTGGGCCTGTTCCTCCATAAGTCCTGGTCACCTTTGATGGGCTTATTCGCGTTCGGCCCATATGGCAGTGTCTTTTTATGGGCCGACCCAGCTATACGGACCGGATGTCGTGCTTGCAAGTCAGATCCGGCCCATGTCGTCCTAGGCCTCCTCAACTGCTCCCATAATTGCCCCTTATTTAATAAGGGGGTAATTATTGATGGCGTCTCATCATGACGTTGACGGCTCGAGAAAACCACGTGGGGGAACGGACGGTCAGATCCAGAATCAATGTTCCGGGGCTCGATGAATTTCTCGCCTTCCTGACGCTTCGGCCCTCGGGCCCCCCTCGCCTTTATAAGGCTCTAGAATACCACTTCACGCCTTTTTACCGTCTCCATCATCAGTCAAATCTCTCTCTTTTTAGAACAGTGCTAAGCTTTTTCTGGTGAAATCCTTCAAGAGTCATTCTTCCAGCGATCTTGCAGTCCTCAGAGGTTAGTTTTGTTCCTTTTTACTTTCGGCAGGCTTCTATTTATCCCTTTTTAGATCCTTCAAGCACTTCCACCATGGTTGTAGATCTGGATGTTCTTCGTATGAGACTTAGACTTCCTGACAACATCGAAGTTAGGGTTTGCCCTAAGGACGTTAACATTATGACCGGTACCGGCCTCCTGCCCGGCGAAGTCTTATTCACGAACCTTCAATTGAATGTCGTTAGGTTCCCTCTGCACCCTTTCTTTAGTTATGTCTTCAATAGATTGGGGATATCCTCCCTGCAGGTAAACCCCAATTTCTTTAGAATCATATCCGTTATGCTCCTGTTGATGCGTGACAGAAATC